TTTTAATCGAGACGTTCTATGAAACAAATATCACGCATTTTAAATAATGATATTCAAAATGTAAGCACATTTCAATCCTTGAAAACATACTGGTTAAAAATCAAGAATTTTCCAAACTTTCCAAACTCTGAAAGAAGTAACGTTAGAACATATGCTGAACAGGCCATTCATAGCTAATTGCTATATTATGCTGAAAATAAGGTGTGCATGCTAACATTTACACGTTCAGATGTCAAATTATGTAATAGAAAAAGGATTAAAGATAATGCAATGCTCACCGTCAAGTCTCCACAGCAAGGATGCATAGATTTATGGGCGTGGTAACGCAGAACAAAACTGTGAGTCTGCACATGCGCATAACCAGTAAGTAGCACATATCGATGGGTAGCACAAATCGTCAGAACACCGGATCCGGCTGACTACATCATGCGTTGTGATCGTGTCTAGGCGCTGGTCCTCCATCTGATCTGGATACGGCCCGGATCCGGCTGACAACATCATGCATTGTGATCGTGTCTAGGCGTAGGTCCACCATCTGGTCTGGATCCGGCTAGGATCCGGCTGACTACATCATGTGGTCGTGTCTAGGCGTAGGTCCAACATCTGATCTGGATACGGCCCAGATCCGGCTGACTACATCATGCGTTGTGATCGTGTCTAGGCGCAGGTCCTCCATCAGATCTGGATACGGCCCAGATCCGGCTGACTACATCATGCGTTGTGGTCGTGTCTAGGCGCAGGTCCACCATCTGGTCTGGATACGGCCCGGATCCGGCTGACTACATTATGTGTTGTGGTCGTGTCTAGGCGCTGATCCACATTCAGGTGTTTACATTCAGGACCCCTAAAGAATAAAAAGAAAAACAGACAATCCGTTTGTGAAGAATACCATTATGGTCTGGTACGAAGTTCATACATTTCTCGGAGAGGCCCTATTGTTGTCTTGCTCTTAATCCCTGATTTGGGGGAATAAATATTTCACTCCAGCTAAAATTGATATGGGGTTTAAACTATAGTTGAATAAGGGAATAGTTAGATTGATGGACTTATATGAAGACAATATTTTAATGTCATTTGACAATCTGGTATCAAAGTTTCATATACGCTGGAAACATTTTTGTAAATACCTGCAGCTTAGAAGTTTTATTTTTTCGAAACTAAAGAATTCTGTGCAACTCCCTTCATTATCCACACTGGAAAGAGCGAATTACCCAATCATATAATATACTGGTACAGAATCATAAAGAAAAATCTGAAAATAAAAGACGAGCATGGATGCAGGATTTAAATAAAGACATTTCATCAGATGAGTGGGGTACAAAAAGCACACACTCAAACTATAAACACTCGTTTGAGACTCTTACAATATAATTGGATAATGAGAACTTATATCACTCCTGTGAGATTAAATAAATTTAACCCTAGTATTCCTGACATGTTTTAAATGCAATAATTTCCAAGGCACATTTTTTCATTGGAGGATGTGTGCCTACAAGCCAGGCCTTCAATCGCCTTTGCTGGAAGAATACAAGTTGTCCTTCCCTTGGACTTTGGCTGAAAAACCTGATATCCAGTTTGGCCCTTGAGAAGCTTACATATGTGATCAAGGGGAAGTCTTCTGAACTTTACGAAATTTGGGAGATGTTCTTGAGATTTGTTAAAGAAGGAGATATTAAAGAGGCTATAGATGTGTGAGGTTGTAGTATATACCTAATGCTTAACAGGAGTGTGTAATATAAAGCACTGTACGTTTAAGGATTTTCTTTTTACCGACTGCCGGGTTAATGTGGAGGGATTTGAGTAAGTTATGTTTGTATTTAAGTGTATGTTATGTTCTTTTGTTAAATGTGTTGTAAAATTCAATAAAAATATGTTCGCAAAAAGCTGGTTAATTGTAAAGTCTATAGTGGTTTTTGAATGTGTCATATTAAACGTACTTTAGCTTTTTTGCTGAGCTATTAAAGAATTCCTATGTATATCAATGATGTATCTTAATTTGTTTTCTGATTAAAGATATGACCAGTTTAAGTGAAAATTGTACACAATCATCTTAATTGAAGATGGAAATCCTGCTCGATACTGTCTGCAAGTTCAGACAATCTGAACCATATAGAAAAATGACCGTTGGAGAGAGAGACAAAAACAAACCCCATGAAACCCTTCTGATGGTGGAGAAACAGGAACTGGAAAACTACCCTGATCAATGCGATGATCGACTACATGTCGGGTGTTCAGAGAGAAGACAAGGTTTGGATGTATGCGATCACAGATGATCGAGGGAACGAACATCAGCTCACAGTCACACCTCCAGCATCACTGTTGATGGGTTTTATCTTCAAGACCGTTCCATCGATTTAACAATCATTAACACGCAGGATACGGAGACACACGTGTTGTGGCAGTGATAAAGAGATTGGCATGCGTTTGCTTAGTTTAAACAGATTTGATGACTGGGTTCATGAAATGGATGCAGTGTGTCTGGTGATTATGGCACAACAAAATCAACTCTCTGACAGACTCATATACATATTTAATGCTGTTCAGTCTTTATTTGGAAGAGATATTGCAGAAAACATTGTCTTGCTGTTCACACACTCAACTGGAGCTCACCCTAAAACGCCCTGACGGCAAGTCAAGCGTCTCATGAATGAGCAGAATCAGCCTGTGTTTCCCTGTTTGACAACATAAAACCAAAATCCCTGAAGATGACTCAAAATGTTTTAATAAAGTGGGAACAGTTAAAGGCAAATATATCTAATCTACAATCACGAGTTAAAGAGATGGAACTAAAGCAAAATGAGCTGAGACAAACTCAAGAAGCTCTGGAGCAGAACAAGAAAGATGTAGAAGAAAATGAAAACTTTGAGTTTGAAGTTGAAGTGTCCTATAAAGAGAAGGTTGATATTGGTCCTTCTGGAGCCGATAAGGCACCGTCTGTGAGGAGAACTGTCATTATCCAGGGTGGGTTAAAGCTCTGCAGGAAAGTGGACCTCGAGGGCCAAAGTTGAGAACCCCTGTAGTAAACACAGGAAAACTGAGGCTGCGTCTGAGAGCTTGTGAGCGCTGTCTTCTGAGGACTCGTTCCAAGCTCTGAAGGCTTCAAGGCCGAATCCCATGTTGGCTTCACTTCCTTTCTTCTGAGACCGTCATCTGATCGCTATTTGAAGGCAGTAGATGCATCCTTCACTGCCTTTGATATCCCACAATCCTGTGCTTTCCATTCTGTGACAGGTGAGCTAGAAAAGGAAGCTGGCATCTGAACGCTGGTTTCCACTTCTTTATTGTATATTAATCATTATATACATAATCATTATTTGACCTGAATCACTGATCTCATTTTGGAGCCTAATGTCTGATTTAGGTTTACCTCATTGATTATAGCAGCACTGTCTTTGTACAGCGTATTTGTAGCATTTTTCAATGTAATCCAAAGGATTTCTTAAACTTTCTTCTGATACAAATACGATTTATTTAGACACACAGACATCAAGAATCAGCCTGTGAATCTCAACAATGGTGACAATAATAAAGCAGGTTGCAGTGCAGTGTCCACAAATAAAAACTCATTCATGCACTGCGGTAATAAATTAGGATCTGAATTGTCTTAGTACTTTCCTTTATTCTTAATATTTTCTTTTATTTCTGCTGTTTTAATGTGACTTTTAAGGCGATATTCAGAGTTGATCTGTTTATCTGAAATGTGCTGTTCGTCACCATTGCTGAGATTCACACACTGAATCCTGATGTCTGTGTGTGCGCTCATGAAGAATATTTTCAAATATTTTTTCTTTCAGAACAACTTTTAAGAAATCCTTTGGATTATTTTGAAAAAGCTTGATCTTGTGCTGTAGAATCACAGTGCTGCTATAATCAATAAAGTAAACCTTATTCAGAGATTAGGCTCTATATGAGAATCAGTGAATCAGTTCAAATGTCAAAACACAATCACACCATCAGATCACCCTTTCTCTTTGTTCATCCGGCTTCGGCTGGTAACTCAGCAGTCAAACTAAATCTAATGTTAATAACTTAAGGGTCAGCCCAACTGATCCCAGGAGAGTTTCTTTAACACTGGAGTTTTTGCTGTGTGTATTCAGTGATTGACTGAAATTGGTTTGTCTGAAACATGTTCACTGTGATTCGCTGTGCCCTTACTGAAATCAATGATAGAAACAACAACAAAGAATCATTTATAACTATAAGCTCGCCTAAATATGTCAACTTGACAATTCGTCATTTTATTGTATCACATTTCCATATACAGGATATTTCAGCTAAAAAATTAAGAAAGAGCGTGTTTTTATAGAGGATATATTCTCATATAAAGGATATGCTCTTTGGGAAGGGAAATATCACACACTGTGCAGCTTAGTGCATTTATTTAAAAAAAAATCAGGAGAAATGCAAAACAAAGATACAGTTTTAAGATACATACAGCACACACTCATACACACTCAGTTGTTTTTGGAATCAGTATTATTAATCATTTCATTGTGTGGCATATTTAGTAAACTGAAATAACAAAGATCTATTGAAAACACAGTATACTGAGGTCTTCACTGCATGTCCGGGGTTGAACAATATTGGTCAAGTTATAAAGGAATTTAGGAATATGTTACATTTTTATAGCAAATAAATGAAATTCAAAGACGAACTGGTACTATGTACAGTTTTATACAGTTAAAGTTCAGACTCAGAGTGCTTTAAGACTCATTACACATATGAATGTTTGTCCTAAATACTACAAAGATGTATTCATATCAAACTCACCCCATCACATCATCTTTAAGATTTGTCTTTCTTCGCAAAAGTCCAGCTTTAGCTTTACTTTAAAAACTATAAAGTACTAAACACTATAAAGTATTTGTCCTTCATTTCAGTGATCATGATTTATAGAACTAAAATCAAAAGGCGCAAGCTAAAAAATGATGTTAATGTTGAAAGTTGTGATTGTAAACCATATTTAATGGGCAGCTGTCAATATAAATACAACATGCTTTATCAGGGCACGTCAACCTTTGGTAAACCTGAAATACTTTCGGACAAAAAAAAATTATCAACAGAAACATTGAGCCAACAGTCTGGTCTCAATAAACAGTATTAATATACTAAATATCATAATGAAAGAAACAGAAAACTGTCATTGGGAAAGATCGGACATCTTCTATCAGAAACATTGAGGATTGTCTTGTATTTCTGTGATATGTTGTTATTAATGAATGGAATGAGTCGTTTATGTCGAGCTGACTATCGGGAATGTTTGCTGAAACACTCGCCCTCTTGTTCTCCACAGGACAGGTACTTGAAAACTAGTTTTGACGAGAAGTATGGAGATGTGTAAGCCAGAGAGCTTTTATAATGATGAATGACAGCAGAGACAGCGGAGGACGCTGGTTTCTGACGTCTGAGAGCGGTCACTTGCGCTCCGTGTCCTCGGCAGGCGACGGGCTGCTGTCTCTCGTGGGCAGGAGGTCATAATGGCACGGGATGTGGCTGTTCTTTGGCAGGTCGTATGGATCTTGACAAAACGGCCCGTTGCAGTTGTTGTTAGAGAGCGTGAGAACAGAACTGATGGTCGGCTCTGGAAGTGGAAGAATACAGGTTCAAACTGTTAGCAGGAATGACCAGTCATGTGTCTTATGTGCATGGTACAGTACCTGAGGTTATATATTTTTATCTGACCAATTATTTATTAATACCAAGAATCAGTTGTGACAAAAAGTCAGCAGTTCCTGTTCGGCAGGAAAGTCGAGTCCCACTGTGGGAGAACCAGTCGCTTCAAACACACTGATACAAAAAAACAGTTATGATGTTTTAAAAACTATTAAAGTATTGAAAAGATGGTAAAGCAATAATATAATAGTGCTACATTTAATTTAATTTACTATGAGAGGAGCTCAGCCACCAGAGATGCAGTTATGGAAGAATATACTGTTTCATTGATATGTTTCCTGTGCCAGGGGTCACCTGAAGACTGCTGGCACGTGTGTGTGTGTGTGTGTGTGTGTGTGTGTGTGTGTGTGTGTGTGTGTGTGTGTGTGTGTGTGTGTGTGTGTGTGTGTGTGTGTGTGTGTGTGTGTGTGTGTGTGTGTGTGTGTGCATCACAGGATTCACTGCTCTCGTTTGCATCAACACAAAATACTGATGCAGATTAGAAAATAACAGTGTAGATGAGATATATGCAGTTTCAATAATTAAAGACTTTAACATGCCTAGGATGGGCCCAAACAATGTGTTTATTTCATTAACAATAAAACTGACTAAATAGTAGAATGTATTTTTATTCTTTAGAACTTAAACACTGCCAAAAAGAAAGTCACTGTTTGGATTTGCATTGCCAATACAAGATCTTTCTATTTTGAAAATGTATGTTATGTCCATCAGAGGTGCATCAGTACCACCAAGATCTGGTAATGACAGTGCAAGATTCCAGCTCTCTGTAAAGGCTTTAGGAGGCTCCTCCAGCACATCCCAAACACTCTCAGTGGATTTAAGCTCTGGACTCATCTTGATGTCTGTGTGTGACTAAATATGGCAGTGGTTCAAAATGTTTATAATAAAAATCTGATTACCACAACTTTTGATCTCTTGTTTTAATTCCCAGGGTCTATAATTTTATGATCTGACAAACTTTTGTAATACACTTTGGGATGAGATCTGTGATATTCAATAATGATTATGACATCATCAATAAACACACATCAGATCATACTCAGCATTTCTCTTGGCTCTTTTAGCCGTAACGACAGTGCCTTAAAACACACTCACAGCAGCCAGAGAAAAACTGATGTTATAAAGGCAAAAGTCAAACAGCATTACCAGCTTCACTTATTACTAACCAGACTGACTTTATTTCTGTCAGACGTCTACAAACGTTCTTTTTGAGAATTAACGGGTTTAACTCTAATGTGTTTCATTTGAAGTCACCATAACAGTGATTAGTGTTTCCATCAGTTAGACTCTTAACTCTTATTATATCTTATAACATCACTGAAAAGCTACTAAATGTCGCAACAAAAACAACAGCAAAAAATAAAAGCAAATATTTACAATTAAACAAAATAATAGTTTAATAATAATTCAGCTGCATAGTTTATTCATATTGCAATGCATGCTGGGAGTTTTGTTCTATGCTGGTAGTCAGAATGCTTTGCAGCAAGGTACTTTTGATTGTCACCATTGTTGAGATTCATGTGCTGATCGTAGAGTAACTTTTGGTGCTCATGTTTATTAAAATCTTCTAACTGATTGTTGTATACTGCTGGATCTCATGCTGCAGTAACACAGGGTTTGTGATGTGAATATATTAATGGTGCAACACAACTGTTAGATTCAAAATACCTCAGTGAATCAGCCTATTTCATGATGATTATAAAACCATCACCAGGTAACCATCATCACCTGATCTCATTTCACTTTAGCTTTCTTTGCTGCTAAATGTGTTTGACAAACACAGTCACAGCGGCCAAAAAAGACAAAAGATATAATAAGAGTTAAGAGCCCAACTAATGGAAACACTAATCACTGTTATGGTGACTGTAAATGAAACACATTAGAGTTAAACCTCTGTTAATTCTCAATAAAATCTTCTGTAGACGTGTGACAGAAATAAAGTCAGTCTGGTTGGTAATAAGTGAAGCTGGTAATGCTGTTTGTGGAGTTGTTTAATCCTCCTCTGCTGAGATCTTGAGAGATTTAATGTTTTATCTTCTGTTGATTTTATCTAAGGCTGTGGCTGAAGTCAGTTGTAGTTCTTGTGTTTCTGCTCATCTCTTTTTCTGTTCTCTTCTTTCCTTCAGTGATTCGCTTGTTTACAGGCTTATTAAGGCTGAGATGACTCCATATTAAATTCACACAGATTTTGTAGCTCAGTCTCATTATGGTTAGGGTTATTTTGGAATAGTCCAGTTCTGGATTATTTCTCTGCTCTTGGCTGACATGTGGCATTGCTATTGCCTGCTTGTGGCCCAGGTCTGGCAAACAGGAGCGGTCCGCCCAAGGGCCGTCATTCCACGCTGCGTGTGGACCAGATCATCTTTCCACATGTGCCAGATGTGGGCCGGATCTGGGCCGTCACAATGTTGCTATGTGGGATACTAATCTTCCGAGAGTTATCATGACAGAACTGCAATAATGATCCAATCATAGACTCTTAAGAATTTGCCTATTTAAATCCAAACAGCGACTTTTTTTTTTGGCTGGGCAGTGTAGTTTGCCAACATTAAGTTCCTATAGTGAACAGTTTCATTCTGTTGTGTAAGTCAAAGAACCTAAAATGATTATCAAGAAAGACAATTCATTAAAGATTTTTTCTTCTTTGAAAACAATGTTAATATCTTGGAGAGTTTTTTCTTGTATTGTTGTCATAACTTTTTTAATCAGAATTAGACTAAAACAAAAACTGTGTAAAAACTAACACTGAATTGGTGGCTTCACAAGCATTTTATCATACAACAGCCAACACTGGTAGTTCCTCTATGCCATGTCTTGTTTGTAAGCTTTGACAGCCACTGGAGCAGAAGCGTGCGCGATTAGAGTTGTGGTTCAAGTGCTGATGGAAGAGTTGAGTCTTCAGCTGCTTCTCGAGCGGTCAGTGGAAGATGAGAGGTAAGACAGAGACGTGGTGAGGTTTCATAAGAGAAGAACGATTCTTCCCTAAAAGGCTAACAGTGCTTCAGCTCAGATCTTTCAGCTGGAAAGTGTCATTATTAAACTGGGCTGATAGGAGACAGCCGTGCGACCCCGATTATAATGTACACGTTCCCCAGCCGACATGACATGAACACAACAGCTGCTCTCAAGTGGAACAGGCTACACTCAACACAGCAGAAGTCACTCCTGCTAGGTTTGGACAGACATTACACCTGTGCACCATTACTTGAGACGGAGTGGATTCCCATGTGTAGCCCCATCAAGGAAAGACTGTCCTCCCATGGAGCAACATCGTATCAAGTACAAATAAGAACTTTTAAATATTGAAACATATTTGAGAAAATATTAGTAGTCCGGTTCATTTCTATTACAGTGATTATCTCAGCTTTGAATAACACAAACAGTGAGCAGGTCTCTGCTATTGCTGGATTTATTATCCTCTTACCGACTTCGTAGACGTTTTTGCTGGCAGGGCTGGAGGCGTTTATCTCAGCATAGGGTGAATCTCTGTGAGCAGGAGACTTCATCTCCACATAACCGCACTCAGAGCTCTTGGCCAGCAGCAGAGGAGGGTCTTTGATGGTGGCATACGGGTTCTCTGAACTATTGAGAGAGCAGGAACTGGCATGATAGGGCAAACTCTTTACCAGATCTACAGAGAGAGAGAGAGAGATCTGTTCACATCGTCATTCTGCTTATAGGGATACTCCACCCACAACTCGGCATTCTCTCATCATTTACTCACCCTCATGTTGTCCCTAACCTGTATGACTTGCTTTCTGCATACGGAGCACAATAGAAGATATTTGGATAGACTTTCATTGTATGCAGTATGGACCAAAAAGCCTGAGACATTTTTCAAAATATCATCTTTTGAGTGCCACAGAAGAAAGAAATGCATACAGGTTTGGAACAACATGAGCAAATGATGCCAGAATGTTCCTCTCTTGCTTGCTAAGCGATCTCTTACCTCGAAGTGATTTTCCCATGTAACGCCTGTCAACTCCATAAGCTCCTGATGAGAGAATCGAGATAAGACAGAAGAAGTCAAAATCATGTGGTTCTCTTGTTGACAAAGCTCACAGCAGCTATGAATGGAGCTAAAGACGCGGATGCAGTGTGTTAGAGGATGTTGAAATGACACATTAAAGCTGCCAGTGGCGCTGAAATTTCATATATCAGTTCGAAGGCCATGTTGGACAAGTCATTGTAAAGCAGTTTGCAAATAAAACAGTCCTGTAAGTTCTGTAAACGCTGGGCTGCCGAGCATTATTATGTTTGGCTGTTCTGTTGGAGGTCCCACCGAGCTCATTGAAGGATCCGCCCTGCTTCCAGTCGGCCGGGAGAGTTCCTGTGTGATCGAGCAGGGAAAGACGTTTCCTCGGCTCGCCGTTCTTCAGGTTCACAAACAACTGGTTGTTCTTCGGCTGTCAGGAAAAACAAAAATCAACAATTACAGCAAGAGCTTTCTACAACATTCCACATAATTCCTCAATCCTAGATATCTACAGTACAGAGCTGGTCATTGTGTGCCCTCAAACCATAGGCTAGCTCAGGTATTTACAATGGTTTGTTTTTTTAGAAAGGCGGTTTTGGATTTATGAGTAAAATAAGTGCCAACAACACATAGGCAAGGGAATCCGTAGTGAATTAGCATTCTGGGATGGCCCAAAAAGTGGCGTCATGACTGAAAAGCTCTATTTAGCATAGCATTATCTTTTGGACAAGTTCCCTATAAGCAGCCCACAATATTAGTCCTTTATTCCAAGAGCTGTTGAACAATTACAGAGTCAGTTAGTAGAGTAAGCAATGGGACTCCTAAAAACACCTTTCCGTAGGGCGGGTTACTGGTGTGCGGCGGGCTGCTGCACTGGGTCAGCGTGTGGTAGCTGGGGTTGGAGAAGTAGTTGCTGTTGGGAAGAACATCCGTCTGCGGGAGCGACTCTGGAACGGGAAGAGCAGCACAAACACACACAGTCACCACACTGCCAATGGCCCACTAGCATAGCACTTTGCTCTGTACCTCCTCTGTGTTAACATCAATAATGCTAAAATATACATAACTGAAAACTAGCGAGAGCTATATTTGACAACAGAAGTGCGTCACAAAGCTCAGTGCAAGTGGGCCAATCTGCCATAGTTTAGTCAACATACAGTAAATCATAAGAATGATTACCAATGTAATTATGACAGTTATTTATAATATGATGTGACAACTAGGGATGCACCGATATGAAATTTTTGGCTGATACCGATAATTCTTTATATTTGAAAGCCGATAAACGATATATTGGCCGATAAATCTAAATCCGAGTTTTTTTAATAATTTTTGAGAGCCTGATTACAAGAACAAATGTCTCACCATTAAAATCCATGTCCCAAACACACAATTATAATGTTCGGTAACCCTTTACTTGAAGGGGTGTGCATAAGACTAACATGACACCTTCATAATCATGACATGACACATGTTATGAATATGAAGGAAGTTTTATGCATGTTTATGACAACTGTCATTAAGTGTCATTCGCTCAGTTATGACATTTTTAATGCAAATATGACATTGTTTGAAATGTCTTTGTTATGACACCTTGACATAAACCAATACATCATAACCTGTCAGTGTCTTTGTCATGACAACTTGACATTACTAAGACAACACAACCTGTCATAAACATGACCTAGCAGATTAATGATCAAACTTAAGAAACCACTTGGCTTTATTGGTTAAAATTACATTAAACTGTCAGGTGGTTGGTGTTGACATTGGCTGTCATGAAGCCATTATAACTTTTTAATGACAAATTGAATGTGTACCACTGTAGTCGAGGTCACAAAAAATATTCATGACACATTTATAATGGCCTCATGACAGCCAATGTCAAAACCAACCACATGACAGTTTAATTTAATGTAATGTCAAGTTGTCATGACAAAGACACTGACAGGTTATGATGTTATGATTTATGTCAAGATGTCATAACAAAGACATCTTAAACAATGTCATATTTGCATTCAAAATGTCATTATTGAGCGAATGACACTTAATGACAGTTGTCATAAACATGCATAAACCCTACTTCATATTCATGACAAATGTCATGTCATGGTTATGAAGGTGTCATGTCAGTCTTATGCACACCCCTTCAAGTAAAGTGTTACCTAATGTTCTCATGATAATTTTATGTAGCCTATATGACAGACTTGCGCTGCATGTTAACTGCACTTATACAGTTAAATACTTAACTGTATTTTCCTTTTTTGAAGTGATTCCAATCATATTTCAATCGATTCAAAGCCATCATGTTGAACAGTGCGCATCTGAAGTGTCTCTCAGCTGAGGGAAATAATCCATTATTTATCGGCTTTAATATATATGCCAGATTTTTTTATTGGGCCGATAACGATAACATATATCGGCGGATACCGATATATCAGATATATCGTGTATCCCTAGTGACAGCTGTAAGACTCGCTGACACTGACCTGTGACGGCGTACTCGGTGTTGGCCCTCAGGGTGGGTGTGTACGTGACCGCAGGCATCGTGGACTCTTTGCCTTTCTGTTTCTTACGGTAAATGATGAAGAGGAGGAGGAGGATGAGCACGAGGAGTACCAGGACGATGATTCCTGCAACGGCACTGATCTGATACGAGTCCGCGGGCACAGCGGCACTCGTCAAACTGTTGAGATTCCCTACAATGATCACGCCAGCTGAGAAAGACAGGAAACATCAGTGTCACACGCTCAGATGAGGCTTCATCGAGTGTGTGATCATGTGTGACGTCTGTAGCTGTGAAACCGTCTACACGGGAGCATCTGTGGCCGCTCCGAGGAGGAGGAGGCAGTGCAGTCGCAGAAAATTGGATAAGAAATATTACAAAAATAAAACAACGCTATTACAAAATGTGACACTGTAATGCTGTTACACATGCGGTTAATGGGAAGACTAATTAACTAACAACTCAAATATTATAAAATCAAACGTGGCCCGAAAACATGATGAGGGGTTTTCAGTGAGCGATCAGCTAAAGATTCATCTTCGTGTCTGTGAACAGTGTTTACCGAGCTTGATGACTGATGAAAATAAGTTGACTTATAAAAAGAACAGCTGAACATCAGCTCACAAATTATATTTTCTATATGTCATATTCATTTGTTAACAAACAAGTACTCATTACTTCAATGAGCTTATTGTTTCTGCCTAAAATACATTATTAGCGAACTGTGTGATTTGTACATGTATCCTGAGATATATTGGACAGTCTCCTCTGATAACAGATCTCTCTAAACTGTAATGTGGACTCATGCATTTTCTGTAAAGCTGCTTTGAAACAAGGTGTATTGTGAAAAGCGCTATACAAATAATTGAATTATATAGATTTTTTTTTTTTTTTGCAATATTGCAATATTGCATTGCTTACATTTTTACCACCTTTAGTTATTATTTTGGAATAAATGTAAAAAAAATGCTTAAAAACACTAACATGAGGTTTTTACTTGGTTTTAATAAATATAACATTACATAGTTAATGCAAAAATACAAAACAGAATTGTAAATGTGACAACATTTATTGTAACTGGGACATGAATTTACATTTGTATTACAAGGTTACACTTTATTTGAAGGTGTCAGTATTACACTGTAATTATACATTTAAGCACAGAGTAATAATAATGAACTACATAGGGTTAGGATGAGGTTTGGTTTGGGGTCGATTGCATGTAATTATGGATAATAGTTATTAGTGTATAATAGTTATTAGTATATAATATAATAGTTATTATTACAGTAACGTTTAACAATGACACTGTAAAATAGTGTTACGAAAAAAAACTTTTCCTCATCATTCCAGCACTCCACTGATCTGATCTATTACTGAAGTTGAACTTATTTTGCTATTCTCAAAAGTAGGAAACAATGAGATTTACACAGTTGATCCTTTGCTGATTGTTAGTGAGCTTTCTGGCGTGTAAAAGGCAGCGGTCGTGAGTGCTACTGTGCGCTTACCCTGGTCACAGCGAGTGCCCTTCCAGCCGGGGTTACAGTAGCAGGTGCCCGTCATGTGATCACAGGTGGAGTTATTCAGGCAGTCGCACACCTGCCGGCAGCCGTATCCATACGTTCCTGCGGGACACTCTGGAAGCCAGTGGGAAAACGCTGGATCAGATGTAGACTCGTGCGTGTGCTTATCAAAGTGTGCTTATAGATATGTAAGTCTTTACTCACTCTGCTGACAGTGGCGTCCCATGAAGCCTGTGCGGCAGGTGCAGTGCCCGGAGATGTGATCGCAGTCTGCGCCGTTCTCACACTGACACACCAGCACACAGTCCTTCCCGTAGAAGCCCAGCGGACAGCCTGCAGGAGAGGGACGTGTGAGCGCACAGGTTCAGAGAGAGAGAGAGAGAGAGAGGGAGAGGGGAACTCACGCTGTGTGCAGTAGAGCCCCGTCCAGCCGGCCGTACACTTGCACTCGCCGTCGTACGCGCTGCAGAACGCCCCGTTGTGGCAGTTACAGGTGTGGATGCAGTTAGGACCCCACTGACCCGGAGGACAGGCTGTGGGCACACACACACACACACACATCACACCCCTGCAGCAGTGCTGTCCAAACACACACACACTCCTGCAGCTGCGTCAGCAGATCACAGTGAACAGTCCTGGAGGACAGGGTTACTCTTCAGTGCTCCCGCTTTATATTAGGTGTCTTTAGCTACTAACATGTAAATTAATCATTTGATACAATCATTTAAATCGTTAAATTATTCATTTTGATTATAAAACCATTAATCATTTGATGCACTTATTGTGTACATGTTTTTACATTGTACTACACTACCAGTCAACAGTTTTGGATCGGTAAGATTTTTAATGTTTTTTAAAAGAAGTCTCTTCTGCTCACCAATGCTGCATTTATTTGATTAAAATACAAAACAAATCAGTAATATTGTATGGAGGACCAAACCTATAAAAATTAAAAATAGATAAATAAATACGCGAATAAATGTATAAAAAAAAACTAAAATAAATGACTATTTATACTTTTATTTCCCTATTTATGTATAATTATATATTTTCTCACATTTATTTATTTATTCATTTATTTTTTTATGCATTAATTCATTTCCACTTTTATTTATTTTCACTTTTATGTATATATGCATTTACATCTACATTTATTTATTTATAAATGTATTTATTTATAATTTGATTTATTTATTTATTCATTTATTTATTTATACATTTATATATTTATTCATTTATTGCTCTGTATGCTAATGGGCGGGGCGTGTTTTACCTCAGACATAGCAATCGAGCTCAGAGTGGCAGCGCTGAAGCTTTGAGGCCACAGTGACACCTTGTGGTGTGTGACCAAACACCATGCAAGAGGTTTGTGGACGTGACTTTACAGGTGTCACAGGAAATAAACGACTTAGAGATCTTATATCACGGCTTATGTCCATTAACTTTACTTAGCTATTTAGGCCTACCATACATAGGTCTACTCTTTATTCCGGACATGGCCGTAAAACATCAGCTGGTCGGGATTTCTAAAATGTCTGGGCACACATGAACAGAATTCGCTGATAACAGACACTTTTACACTGAAGCGCGTCAAATTATCCACTATTAACCATATTTTATGGCATGCATTGTAGATCCGTTTACAGAAGCTAACTGCATTTTTAACGTATCTTCCAAAAACAATGTTGACAGCAACAAACTTTTCCATAAAGAGGTGACATTTCCACTATAAATTGATTTCCTGGGGCATTTTTAAAAACCTTATTAAATAGTGGGCTACATGCGTCATAATGTAGCCTATAAGTTCTTAAAGGGATAGTTCACTTTGAAATTAATTTTTGATATATACCTCAAGGGCATCCGAGATGTAGGTGTCTTTGTTTCCGCAGAAGTTTCAATATTGATATTTTTAGGTCAAACCGTTCTTGTCTGTCAGTCATATAATGCAGGTCTATGGTCACCACCTCAAAGAGCATGCACAGAGAAGTCCAAATTAAACATGATTTAATGACTCGTAAATGTAAGTACACATTGATGGCCTACGACACGAAACGAGCGGTTTGTGTGAGAAAACGAACAGTATTTATATCGTTTTTACCTCTTGTAACGCACAGACCGAACCGCCCGCGCCCTCAGATCACTTGGACGTGGCTGTGTTTACAAGAGGTAAAAACGATATAAATACTGTTCGTTTTCTTTTTGTTCGTTTCGTTTAATTTGGACTTCTCTGTGCTGCTCTTTGAGGTGGTGACCATAGACCTGCATTATATGACTGACAGACAAGAACGGTTTGACCTAAAAATATCAAAATTGAAACTACTGCGGAAACAAAGACACCTACATCTTGGGGTAAGCTAAAACATATCAAAAATTAATTTCAAAGTGAACTATCCCTTTAAGTTTAACTGATCAATTCAGTTAATAAGGCACTACTATAGGGCTGTTACCAGGCAAATAAAATCAGTTTCAACAAAATCTTCGCACCGCAGATGTGGGACGTGCAGACGCTGACTGGTATGGTGAATGGTATGGTATTATATTATATTGCGAAATATTATTACAATTTAAAACAGCTGTTTTCTATGTGAATATATTGTAAAGTGTAATTTACTCCTGTGATCAATTTTGAATCTTCAGCATCATTAAATTACACATTACACTCTTCAGTGTCACATGATCCTTCAGAAATCACTCTAATATGATGATTTGATGCTCAAGAAACATTTCTCATTATTATCAATCGTGAAAACAGTTATTTACATTTTTATTTCAGGATTCTTTGATGAATAGAAAGTTCAAGAGAACAGCATTTATCTGAAATAGAAAGCTTTTGTAACCGTCAGTAAGAATTTTAATTTTATTTTTTGGGGGAAAGAAATAAAATAAATCAATACTTTTATTCATAAAGGATTAATTAAATTGATAAAAAAATACAGTAAAGACATTTATAATGTTACAAAAGATTCTATTTCAAATAAATGCTGTTCTTTTGAACGTTCTATTCATCAAAGAATCCTGATCACAGGAATAAATTACATTTTTAAATATTTTAAAATACAAAACAGTTTTTGTTGTCTAAATTTTGTCTAAATTGCAATAATATTAAACAACAATATTACTGTTCTTTTTGTATTTTTAAACAAATAAATGCAGTCTTGGTGAGCAGAAGAGACTTCTTTTAAACACATTAAAAATCTTACTGATCCAAAACGTTTGACTGGTAGTGTGTATTTAAAAATACCTGTATGTAATTACAGCTGTAATTCAGTTCTGTAAGTACACTGTTGACTCTTCTCTTCCCCCTAAACCACCCTTAAGCTGACCCATACCACCAAACCTGCCCTAACCTTATCCAATTCAATACAATATGAACACAATAAGTACATTTGATGTTAAGGACACCTAATGTAAAGTGTGACCATGGATTGTGTTTGTGACTATCAGTCAAAATATTATTACAATTTAAAATAGCTGTGTTCTATGTGAATATATTGTAAAGTGTAATTTACTCCTGTGATCATCATATTAGAGTGATTTCTGAAGGATCATGTGACACTGAAGACTGGAGTAATGATGCTTTGATCACAGGAATAAATATTAAAATACATTAAAATAGAAGACAGCTCTTTTAATAGATTACAAAATATTACAGTTTTTTGATCAAATAAATTTGTCCTTTGTGAGCATTTAAAAATCTTAATAGGTCTAAACCTTTGACCACTACCGGTGTATATAACATCATCAGATCATGTGTACTTCTTTACTGCTCCTCTGTATGATCAGCAGGGGGCGCTAGAGACCACAGGCCATCAATGAGGTCAACGCACAGAAAAAACTCTGTTTCTGATGGTCCTGAGTGATAAATCAGCCAAACTAGTGTCTAGTGTCACTCAGCATATAGTCTTTATCTGGACGATCCACCGACAGATGAGAGTTAAGTGTTCAGCTACTTCAGCGGAGCAAATTAAAAGGAACTGAATGTAATTGTTCTGTCTAGATGTGGAAAGTTTTCTACATTACAACTACAACAAAAACAAAACAAAAAAACAGTTGAAAAAAACACAACTGCTTCAGGGTCAAAATCAGGTCAGATCAGCGCTGGAGACCCAACAGCTGCTACAAATCCCAAGTGAAGTTGTTTGAAGAGGGGAAACAACCCAGACTCAACCCAGACCAAGCCCACCTGAGCCCGAGACTCAACCCAGACCAAGCCCACCAAGCCCACCTGAGCCCGAGACTCAACCCAGACCAAGCCCACCAAGCCCACCTGACCCCGAGACTCAACCCAGACCAAGCCCACCAAGCCCACCTGACCCCGAGACTCAACCCAGACCAAGCCCACCTGACCCCGAGACTCAACCCAGACCAAGCCCACCTGAGCCCGAGACTCAACCCAGACCAAACCCACCTGAGCCCGAGACTCAACCCAGACCAAGTCCACCTGACCCCGAAACTCAACCCAGACCAAGTCCACCCAGCCCACCTGACCCCGAGACTCAACCCAGACCAAGCCCACCTGACCCCGAGACTCAACCCAGACCAAGCCCACCTGACCCCAAGACTCAACCCAGACCAAGCCCACCTGACCCCGAGACTCAACCCAGACCAAGCCCACCTGACCCCGAGACTCAACCCAGACCAAGCCCACCTGACCCCGAGACTCAACCCAGACCAAGCCCACCTGAGCCCGAGACTCAACCCAGACCAAGCCCACCTGACCCCGAGACTCAACCCAGACCAAGCCCACTTGACCCCGAGACTCAACCCAGACCAAGCCCACCTGAGCCCGAGACTCAACCCAGACCAAGCCCACCTGACCCCGAGACTCAACCCAGACCAAGCCCACCTGAGCCCGAGACTCAACCCAGACCAAGCCCACCTGACCCCGAGACTCAACCCAGACCAAGCCCACCTGACCCCGAGACTCAACCCAGACCAAGCCCACCTGACCCCGAGACTCAACCCAGACCAAGCCCACCTGAGCCCGAGACTCAACCCAGACCAAGCCCACCTGACCCCGAGACTCAACCCAGACCAAGCCCACTTGACCCCGAGACTCAACCCAGACCAAGCCCACCTGAGCCCGAGACTCAACCCAGACCAAGCCCACCTGACCCCGAGACTCAACCCAGACCAAGCCCACCTGACCCCAAGACTCAACCCAGACCAAGCCCACCTGACCCCGAGACTCAACCCAGACCAAGCCCACCTGACCCCGAGACTCAACCCAGACCAAGCCCACCTGACCCCGAGACGCAACCCAGACCAAGCCCACCTGACCCCGAGACTCAACCCAGACCAAGCCCACCAAGCCCACCTGACCCCGAGACTCAACCCAGACCAAGCCCACCTGAGCCCGAGACTCAACCCAGACCATGTCCACCTGACCCCGAGACTCAACCCAGACCAAGCCCACCAAGCCCAACTGACCCAGAGACTCAAGCCTGACAGCAGCAGAACTCTGCTTGACATGAGAGAAAGGGCCTAGACATCCACACTCTCCTCCTTATATTACAGGCCGACATTAGGTTTCTGATCAGCAGGGGACTAAAGAAATAGTTTAGTAGTCTGATCAGTTGAGCTAAAGCTGTTGAAAAGGATGCAAATCAAACAGCCTAGCATCAGTACGCTGAACTCTAAAGAACCACGTTTAGTCAGGCAGGATGTTTTTTGGGAGATTCCTCGAAAACACAGCAAAAACTATTAATGGTGAGACACACCAAGCTGACAGTCGGTCATCGTCCAACATCAGGCTGTCGTCGACCGTCTGACCGCTCAGCTTTTGCATGTTCCAGGTTGTATATCCAAAGTCCTAGTGTCGGTTTCACAGTTTTAAAGATGAATATAGACTACTGCCACCAGCAGGTATAGAGTTATTTTCTCTAGCTGGCCATTGGCTAAGTCTTTACGGTGAGTCCAAACGCAACTTTTTAGCCCAGACGCACACAACACGGCTTTCATTGCCAGTAGTTCTTCTGTGTCATGGCTTTAAAGGAGTAGTTCACTTCAGAATTAAATTTTCCGGATAATTTACTCTCCCCCACATCATCCAAGATGTTCATGTCTTTCTTTCTTTCTTCAGTAGAAAAGAAATTAAGGTTTTTGAGGAAAACATTCCAGGATTTTTATAGTGACTTCGATGGGGTCCAACGGGTTGAAGGTCCAGATGTGAGTTTCAGTGCAGCTTCAAAGTCTCGACACGATCCCAGCCGAGGAATAAGAGTCTTATCTAGACAAACCAGTGGACATTTTATAACAAAAAAAAAAACATGTATATACTTTGTAATGGATTTTCCCTTGACCTAACTATTCTGCCAATAACACTTACTCTAATCAGATCAGCCAAGTCCTACTCTATACCCTCAGCGCATCTACACATCGACGTCCGCCGGGTTCTAAAACTATACCCTAGCGCGTCTACTCATCGACGTCGGCCGGGTGCTAATAATTCTAACTTACTTGTTCTCTTGCTGCGCAGCTTTAATGACAGACAGACTTGAGTAATTGTCCTTTAAATGTTCTTTATTACGGCCGGGAGTCTCGAGCAGTTCTCAGAGAATCTCCCAAAAAGAACCAATAAGCATGGCCGGTGGATCTCAGACAAATCCCATTGAGAATCCCCCCAGTAAACACAAATACAACAGTTTTATAGAATAAGGAGGTATTGCAAAATGACATGAAACATTACTTAATTTGATTGGTTCTTCATTGACAATCACTTCTGTTACTGGGTAGAGGAGACTTTGTTTTAATGATTACTTCATTGATCACAAGTTCTAACCTAGTCATCTGTCTAGTTTCATTTCCCAAATTATGTTGTTAATACACACAGTCATGGGTTTTCTTCCAAGAGACACACATACATTCATCCAAAGGACAAAACGTCTTAGTACATTGTTTCAGAGTGTTAGCATGTCAAATAAGGTCAATTGTTAAAACATGGTCAGCCCAACATTCAGCCTAAAATTTCCACGACAACTTTTAACCACAAATGCTGGTTTTAGCTGGTCTAGGTGTGATGCGCCACACATCACCTAATCACGTTGAAAGGTCCCGCGTGACGTAGACAGAAGTACCGACCCAGTGTTTACAAAGTGAACGTGCAAAGACGAAGTCAAACACCATTTACAAAAAAAAAGGTAAAACCATTATGTCGAACGATTTTGAAGTTGGAGAAGAAAATGAGATGGAGTTTTTCGTCCTGCCCTAGATTTACCATTTATGCGTGACCTTTCAACGCGATTAGGTGATGTGTGGCGCATCACAGCTAGTGCAAGACGAGCATTTGTGGTTAAAGGTGAACTAAGTAACTTTTTTACCTTAACCGAACAGCTTTGGAGTCATTGTAATGTTTATATTACTGATTTCGTGTTGAATGGTGGTCGTCTCGCACCCCCCTGGTGCCTGTGAGCCGCAAAACCACCCTTGCAACTTTGGGCTGGCGAGCCGCCGGCCTGAGTGTTAGGAAGTATCGTGTGACATCAGGTCTCGCGAGGCAACGAATTGCTTTACGGCAAAAAAACAGATCTGATAAAATTCTGATAAAATGAGCATCAAACAGAAATAACCCGGCGCCGTATACATGTGGTGTTGGGCGCGCGCAGCTCTTAAAGGGGCCATACCTTATTTCCACTCGTTACAGCGTCCATCCTACTGAACAGGTACCGGTGTACAGGGGGAGGGGATCCGGCCGTGAGTGCGAGCCATCTCTGCGTGAGTGCTATTCACGACAGTACAAGTGCTCCACAGCGACTCTAGGGGTCGCTGTTTGACAAAAACGGAATTCTTACTGAGTGCTGCTTTAAAAGTATATAAATGTTTATTTTGTTATAAAATGGCTGCTGGTTTGTCTAGATACGACTCTTATTCCTCGGCTGGGATCGTGTCGAGATTTTGAAGCTGCACTGAAACTTCGACCCGTTGGACCCCATTGAAGTCTCTATATGGAGAAAAATCCTGGAATGTTTTCCTCAAAAACCTTCATTTCTTTTCTACTGAAGAAAGAAACACATGAACATCTTGGATGACGTGGGGGAGAGTAAAATATCAGGAAATTTTAATTCTGAAGTGAACTACTCCTTTAAAGAATTGATTCTATATTCTACAATGAGCCTCAATCTGAGAGAGCAAGAGCTTTAAGAGTTGATCAAGAGCCTTTAGTGAGATTGCACAGAATACTGACGCTGTGAGCAGTCACTGCCGATCCAGCCGGGGTAACACTGACATGAGCCGTCGAAGGGGTTGCAGGTGCCGTTATGAGTGCAGGTGCAGCTCCACGCACAGTTCTTGCCAAACCGGCCACTGGGACACACTGCAGACAGACAGACAGACAGACAGACAGACAGACAGAGCAGGACATCAGTACCACGGCCCAGTGAGAGGACTGTAAGAACACATACTGGAAAATGGGAATGGAAAACAAAAAGAACTGAAAGAATAAATGGCGTGTAGAAGACCACCCCCATGTACAAAATAAGTACATTGTACTTATTTTTAGATGTAAGTACATAGAACTTAAAGCCACTTAATATAAACTGGGACCAACAGCTGTACTGTAGCAGTGAGTGAGAGCGGCTTTTCTTGCCTTCGTTGCAGAGCGCCCCTTTAAAGCCAGGCTGACAGTCACACTGGCCGGTCACATGGTGACAGGGGCCCTTGCTGTGGACGCAGTGTGGACAGGCCTGGCTACAGCGGTGGCCGAAGAAGCCCGGAGAACAGACTGGAAACACCAGGAAAACAGAGGGGATGAGAAAACAAGATGTTGTCATGGGACAGACACAGGTGGTGTGTGTGAGCACTCACTGCGCTGGCAGGTGGTTCCTCTGAATCCAGGCGCGCACTCGCACGCGCCCTCGTCCGGGGAGCAGGACGCCCCGTTCTTACAGTTACAGGACAGGGAGCAGTTCGGCCCCCAGCGGCCCTCAGCACACATGCTGTCGCAGTGAATGCCTGTGAGAAACACACACACACGCTGACTGGATGATCCCACAACACACACTCACAAAAACACAACATTACTTTTATAATCCCAGATAACTATTTAGGAAACTTCTTTTACTGCATTCAAGGCTGTGATTTTGTACTGAGAACTATGAGATGTTGTGAGATGAGATGTGAGAGTTCACCTGACCATCCAGTCCTAATGAAAGATGGTAAACAGTTCGTGGCTTGCTGTCCTGGTCTCGAGCTCTGAGCTAATTAAGGGCCCGGACTACGGGATTGAATAGAAAGAGGTAGCTTGGAATAGAGGAAGGTGGTGGAGGCATTGCCAGAAAAGAAACTCCTGCTTATATACGCTCATGATAATGACTGACAGGTAGTGATGGGAGGAGTGATTTTTGAAGCTCTGAACCAGTTGAACCAATAGCTTTGTTAAATGACTGTGTGAGTTTGACTTAACGCAATCTGTGCCTGACAATAGCAATGCATTCTGGTTAGAAAGTTTGTCCGGTTCACGAAGTACTGCGAGAGCGAGACGAGACCAGCCGCCTGGATCAGACGCTGCAGTTTCATGATTTTTCAGATTCAAAAGGACTTTCGAAAGGGAACTTGCACTGCGTCCCATTGGGGTCGCTATGGGGGAATGCCTTTGCCGTGAATTTTAGAATGTGTGTTCATCCGTGTCAGCGTTTTCTGACACCTGATGACAGACATGATATGTGCGTTATGTGTATGGGTGAGGAGCATGCATTTCCTCTAAGGAAACTTGACTCGATCTCGACTGTCCCTTTCCTTGAGGGTGTGCCCGGCGGTTCAGGACCCGCTGCAGCCTAGGCGGGCAGGATACTGAAATCGTGGGGCTCGTAGATGGAGCTCTTGAGAGATTGAATATCTCTCAAGAGCTGCGCCGCGGATAGGTTAGATCTGCCGTGGAAACCAGAAGGACCTGGACCAGAGCCAGGGGCTCCCCCTGAGGTGGTAGAGGAGCTGCGCCGCACTGTAGATTTGGTTCTCCGCGCCACCACACAGTCTCGATCGGTCTATGGAAGCCATGGTGGAGGGACATCTCTGGGTGAACCTGGCTGACATCGGGGAGAGGGAGATATCCTTCCTCCTCGATGCGCCAGTTCCGCCTTCCGAGCTGTTTGGCACATCTGTTGAGACGGTGGTCGAGAAGTTTTGGGAGGCGAAGGCGTGCTCCGCGGCTCTTAAGTCCTTCATGCTGTGCCGGTCCAGGCCCACGCCTCAAGCCACGAAGGGGGCTGGCTCATCCCGGTCTGAGGATCGGAGACGAGACCAGAAAGCGAGCGCCGCCTCTCGTGCTCCTCCTCCCGCGAGGTGAGTTTAGAAAGAGGCGAGGTAACATCAGGGAAGTGTTCCAGAATTCGCCCCGAGCGCCGTTCTGGGGCTAACATTTTTTTTTACAGATCAGGCTCGGGTTGGACTCGGGCTTATTTAGCTTCTCTCCTTTCATTGTGCCCATAATATACGCCACATGTGTGTATGAAATTTGAAATATTGTTATATTGATTATATTATAAATATTATACATCGCCTAAGCGACACAAACGCATATACGCACACGTCACTCACATGCATTAACAGGTGACAGTTGACCATGCAGAACATCAGGGAGAAGTTGGAGCGTGGGAAGTTAATAAAAGTTCTGATTAATATTATTTAACATTAGCCATTTGGAGAAGAGTTCTTCATTTTTGAACATTGTTTTGAAAATTGTTCTTCAGTTACTTAAAAGCAAAGAAAGGTAGGCCGTTTATTTACAGTACTTATTTTTGCGTTTGGATCCCGTAGCGCTATATTCTCTACTGCTTCTCTGTAATGTCTGTCCAATATTTGTGGGCATGATGTTTCAGGCCTATTAATAAAAGTTTACCTCTTAGTAGCATGTGACTTGTGTGTGTTTGCGAGAGTGCGCGTCAGAAAGAGCACATCAAAGAGCACGCGTCAGAGAGAGCTTAAAGTGATATTGATGTTGGTCTCGGGTCGGGTTCGGGCTGAAAAATTGCAGGCGTTGTCGGGCTGGGGCCGGGTAGGGCTTGAACACCACGGGCCAGGGCCGGGTTAGGGCTGTAGTTTTTGGCCCGACCAAACCGCAGGGCATGCTAATAATAAACAGAACGTTGGAGTGGAGGCTAATATAGTTATGGTTATAGTTATCTTTCTTGTTGTGAACGGCCTTGAGCTCAATGACCGTCCGTGCTTAACAAGCTCTGCTGTCAAAGACAAATGATTAAACATGTTGTTCTGTGTGTCTGAAGCTCAGTGGGTGAAGCAGCTCTGTGGGAGAGAGTCATGACAAAACACGGACAAAAGCTCTTTGAGAGTGAGTGTGTTGCTAGGCGATGAGAGGACGCTGGAGATCATTCTAGTGCAGCAGGCCTGAAGAAACACTGCTGGCAGCATCAGTATGCCGTCGGTGTCGGGATCAACCCAGAGGAATGTGTGGGAGAGGGGGTGTGTTCACCTTCATGTGCCTGTGCATCAGTCCTCAGCCTTACAATCAAACAGACCAAAACCTTCTTAAGAAAAAAATTAAGATGAACTTCTGAAGAACTTTCTTATGAACTTATTTTAAGAACTTATCTTAAGAATTTTCTTGTGAATCCGGCCCCAGAGGTGGGAATGACTTTTTAAAGCAGTAATCTTTTAAAAAGCAAATGATAAAAATATAAGTTATCCTGAAAGTCTAGCACACATTCATCACCTGTCCAGCCGGCCAGACAGCGGCAGTGTCCCGTTGAGGGCTGGCACCCGTCCGCATGACTGCAGTCACAGCGCTCACGACAGTCTAATCCATATGTCCCGTCCTGCACACACCATCAGGCCATTGAGGGACACTTCTTTAGACTAAAATAGTGATGAATTTGACGATAAAAATTACTATTGAATGAATTTTATATGAGAATGCACTTGAAAATAACTGTTTATCAGACTGAAGGAATGATGCCTTATGGGTGAAGGCCAAAAATATGGAAAATAATCGAGAGGTAATATATAACACCGGTTCAGTATTATTATAATGAATGCAGCAGAATATAAGAAGGTGACATAAAAGGCATGTGTAACTGAACATTAAGACAGTACAGGGTTTGGTATTTCTCTGTGAATGCAGCTGTGCTCGCAGACCTGACAGTGCTGATCACAGCGGTCTCCTCTCCAGCCTGGAGTACAGGTGCACCTCCCGTCCAGAGCGTCGCACGCGCCCCCGTTACTGCAGGCACACGTCAGGTTACAGCCCAGACCCCACGAGCCACTGGGGCAGTTAATGGAGCAGTCCACCCCGTGCCACCCTGAAACAACAGCGGTGAAAATCATAAAAGCACTAAAAACACTGCAAGAGCTAAGACACATGAACGAAACACACATACGCTATTCACAGTCGGAGCCGAAACATGACAGTGATTACCATGTGATCAGATTACCTGAAAGTAAGGTAAACTAGTTCCTAGTGCTTCTCTATGTATACATGGCCCTCATTTCCAGTTGCTCTTTGTCAGATCTCGTCATTATTTCAGTGCTTGTACTGTTTAATGTGTTTGTTTCCTAAGAAGTGTGTACCTGAGTTTATTTTGATTATTGTTACTAGAGGCTAGTCTATGAGAAGCCTGTAGCCAGTTGGTCAAAGGGGGAAAAAAGTCATGCAGTCTGTGAAGGACAGTTAACCCTTGCTGTAAAAAAAGGTAAAGTTCTGACAGTATCATACCATTTTCCATTAAAACAGTAATATACCATAGAAAACAATGCATTCTGGGTGATTTTCACCTATTCAATCTACAGCATGAGATCCAACAATGTATCAGCAATCAGTTATTCTGAAGGATATTGAAATCATATAATGCATTAAAACATTTTGATCTCTTACTTGACTCAGACACAGACAGAGATCACCAATCAGCACATGAATCTCAACAATGGTGACAATCAAAAGTTTCATGTCGCAATGCATGCTGGGTTCCAGGTAGGGTGACCAGAAGTCCCGAAAAATTCGGGACAGTCCCGAAATCTAAGCTGTTGTCCCGAATCCCGAAACCGGCCTTAATTGTCCCGAAAATTATACTAAAGCAAAATCTTGATAAAACATTAAAAACTGTCCGTGGAAGTTGAGTCGTCCTGCAGCCAGCCCCCTCTTGCGTTGTTTTTGCCTTTTCCCGATAACTCGCTTGCTTTAATCCTCATTTGTAAGTCGCTTTATACAAAGGCGTCTGCTAAATGACTAAATGTAAAATGTAAATGTAGTGAATGAATAGGGAATATGATAATTTTGTCATCATCGTCAATATAACAAACTGCATCTTGCAAGCCACACTTGTACACACACGGTTTGTGTGTGTACAAGTGTGGCTTGCAAGAACAGTTCAAGCAGAATGAGAAATCCTAATGTTAAAAAGTCAAGGGTCAGGAGCCCAACTAAAGCAAACACTCATCTCCATAATGGTAACTTCAAACCAAACATTTTCAATTAAACATCTCAATAACAACTTCTGTAGATGTGTGACAGAAATAAAGTCATACTGGTTCATACATACATAAGTGTAATAATGTGTAATGGCTCAGTTGTAGTTCTTGTGTTTCTCTATTTTCTGTTCTTGTGTTCCTCTTTCCTTCAATGATTCTGCTTGTTAACAGCAGGTGTTCATCACTACAATCACTTACATATTCACTTAATTATCTCACTGCAACATTGCGTCAATGATACTTTTACTCTTTGTGGGGTAGATTTTCCTGTGGGGTTGAAAGGGTTAACAGTGTAAGATAAAAAGACACACCCACTGAATGTATTTTAACAGTAATAAACTATGAGTTAAAAACAGGTATATACTAGGACCAATACTGTTGGCAGTAGTTTACTGTAAAATTTAATTTTTTTGGGTCACCATTGAGCTGAAGAGTAGAGCCTGTGCTTCAGTCCAGCAGAAGATCTAGAGACATTGATGATACGCTAAATGTTGCTTTATTGAACCCTCTGGGGTCGGCGGTCGCGCCGGCGATACCAGCTCGCTCTTTTTCTTATCAGTGCAAAAGAGACTCAAATTACTCTTTTGATTTTGATCTTACATATAAGTGTTATACATCATTCAAAACTGTTAAATGTCTTCTTTTATTTGTGTACACTCAACAAAACAAAATGTTGTGTTTTTCGTAAAATAAAGAAAATAAACATGATGCGCGTTCTACTGTCTCTCTTATTGTGAAGTTCATTCTGAAACGCGACAGAAAATGAACTGTAACTCAGCGAATGTTTGTCACCCAGACTTGAGACATATGTCTTTACAAGGCTTGAAGTCTCTTTTTTTCAAATGATGTAAATTATATCAAAAACAAATATTCTCTAATTAATCAATATGTATGAAAGCAATGACATGTACAGTTTCTCAGTTTCTTCAGTCCGAGCTGATTAGCTCTATTGTGCCCACGCGCGCACGAGCGATTCACATGCAAATTGTCCACGTGAAGGAACGCAGAACTGTAAACGCCCATCATCTCAAAACAAAGAATCAGAGACTTCAGTACTCCTCTGCTTTTCATCGAGTTTGGAAGACACGTTGTGTTTGTGCTGTGCTGTTTGCCTTGGATTTACCTCAGAAGAATTAGAAGAACGCGATTTAAAGATGAGAAAGATTTTTAAGGTAAGAAATGTCCACTCATAATAGTAAGCATGTTATTGTTATATAAAATTTACATTGTAGCAACTAGTCAAACTGGTGCCAGATTAAAATGTTCGTTATGAAATGAGATTGGAGTAAAAACATGAAGCCTAATGTTAAATGTGTACAAAGCTCTTTTTCACAAACTACCACCTTTTATTAATAGCTGGGTTTCAGTCACGTGATTATGATGACGCGCGAAATTCAGATGGAGGGCAGGGAGTGAAGAGCGCAATGGACGAGATGGAGGAAAGTCCGTACTGTACTACTTTACACGCTATTACAAGAGAAAGATATAAACAAAAAAATTCAAACATATGTTGGACGTGATCCTTACGGTATGAAGAGGAGCGATCTTCAACTGAATTGAAAGATTTTCCTGCCATCGAGGCGGTAGATATCAGCAACTACCTCGTCTTACAGACATACTTTGACTTTACAAAGTTCGGAAACGTTACACAAACATAGCCACTTAAGTTGTATTAACTCACCTTTGACGAAGTGATCACTGCACAAACGGGCATTTTCCCATTCGGCTCCTCCCGACCGCAGACGTAGGTTTGCAAGCCGTTTTCCCGGAGTTTTTCGGTCAATTTCTTGCATTTTCCCCCCTTATGAACAACAACTTTTGGTACACGATAAAAACTCCTCGTGGTTTGATCGATTTAAGTAACCATAAATGACGCAAAACATAGGCATTTTGAGTTTGTTATAGTGCTTTCTAAATACAGCAAATCACTTCCTGCCCTCCATTTTGCATTTGGCGCCATGGCAACGCAGTGGCGTGACGTCATATGAAAACGAGCTATTCACTTTTAACTGCTAGATGGCCTGGTTACCAGACCAGAGCTCAGGGATGGCTATTACTACAGATCCCTAAGATCTCCTCTGAATTGGGTAGATCGGCTTTTAGTTTTTTTGCCTCTCACATTTGGAATGAATTACAATGTACTATTAAACTGGATAATCTGGTGCCTTTATGGCATTTTAGATGTTTACTTAAGGATCATTTAATTACTGACTGTGTTTGTTTTATGTGATTGTTTTCTCTTTTCTTTTTAATTGCTTTTAATTTGTTTTTGCTTGTTTACTGTACTGTACACCTACACAGGTCGTTGCTGTAAATGAGAACTTGTTCTCAGTCAACTTACCTGTATAAATAAATAAATAAATAATACATTTATAGACATGTACGACACGAGGATGTTTTTATGTTCGCTAATAAAACACAGCATGATATAAAAGTAGGCTAGTATGAGTGTTTATTCTAATATGATGAATATTATAATGTTTAGACCCGTGTTTACTGTTAAATACTGTGTTTTTGGATATCTGCTTAAACGTATATATGTATAATATGGTAACAATAATGTTCTCTGCACGCGCTGTGAGTTTGAGTCACTCGTGCTGTGCGTTTGAAAAGCAAAACGCGCCAAACATTCAGCTTCATGTTTTTACTCCAATCTCATTTCATTACGTCATAACGAATGGAAAGATTTGAAGTAACATATGATAATCCATATATTTTTCTCTAGTGTGTTACTGAAGTGTTAATTTTTAACGATTTATAGGGCGCCTGCTATAGGCTATTGTTATTATTATTTTATGCAGCCCTACACGTATATGCCTACAAGGCACAACAAACCTGGTGTTCATTATATATATATATATATATATATATGTGTGTGTATTTTGTACATTTTAAATCGCAATTTTAACCAGAAAAATCTAAAATGTATTCCCAAAATCGTGCAGCCTATAGTTTATATTGATATCAGCATGTTCACAGTTGTTTCGGGATTTTTTTTTTTTATAGGGACCAGATGCCACTGATTAGTCCTGCTGACTTAAACACATGAGTCTCTGTACATGAACATGGTAAAATGAAAAATCATACACCTTGGAAATGACAGGTATGTACTATGTTTCAGGAATGGCACAAAGTTATGTGACTATTCAAGTCACAGTCAAAGTCAAGTTTTTTGTCCTTTGTTGTAAAGGTTGCAAGGTTCCTCATAATGATAGGGCCTGATAGCACCTGATAGGGCCATTATGGGAGTGTCTTTGTCTTTCTCAGGTGTGAAACACATCAATATTCATGATGATTCACGGCCTCCTCACATAAAGCTTTCTTACACAAAACATGTCTTAGAAATTTTAAATCAATATATTGTTTTATCTGAATGAGTACGCAGGATGATTTTCACATAGTTTTGAAGCAAATATTCTAGGCTACGTGATACAATTTTCAAAGGTCTTGTGAAGAAATAATCAGTATGGGTTTCATGACCATAAATACTAGTTAATAAAATTAAACTGCAGTTGGTCAACTTAAGGCAGTTGGTTTCTGCAAATTAAATTAGTTAACTCAAGTTTTAATTTAGTGCACGGTAACTTTACAGTAACATACTGTAGATTACAGTTAAGACCTGTACAATTAACAGTAAATTTGACAGTATCTTACTGTAAAAAAGCCTGGTAAGATCTAACAATCTAATTATTACAGTATGTCGGGCAGAAAAACCAAACATTCGCCTGTCATTCATCGACCTCAAACATAGCTTAGCCTAATAAGCCTAACGTTAACCACTTTACATGGCCGCTCTATTATTAGGCAGTAGGCACATATCCTAGTGTTCATGTGGAGTGAAGCTCAATTAATACCACGTTTACTGCATGACATGTTTATCAAATGCGTTTCTCTCTAATGCATTCCTCATCGCTGGTCTATTAATGAATTATTAAAATGTTCATACAGTCTCTGTGGTGTTTTTTCGACACATTCATAATCATTACTTTTTCCAGTGCTCTCCCGCAAGCGTTGTGTTCACTTGAGTGTTTAATGTATATTGTAAAGGCTCATTATTATGGTTTAGTATTTATCTGCAATGTAACATTTAATATTTTTTCTCAGCCCTGAAATTCAAACCATTTTGTTGCTTGAAGATGCTGAATCAAATACACCTGCATTCCTGGGGCCTCATGGAAACACACCATGTCAGTGTAGATAAGCAACTGCACACCAAAGACAACTGAACAAGCTTACTGATCTTCAGGATAACTAGAAAGTTGATCAGGGTTGGAGTTTAACTCTGCAGGACAGTGAGTTGAAGAGAATCACCTGCTTGACAGGAACAGGATCCATCGATGGGAGAGCAGACGGCTGCGTTCTTACAAGAGCAGAGAGAGGAGCAGTTGATGCCGTATGTGCCCGCGGGGCAGACCGAGGAGCAATCTGAGCCCTGTAATCATGACCACACATCAGTGACCGGTTCCAGCACACACACACTCAGTCTGTTTAAGATAAGATGAAGTACCTTATATCCCGGTGCGCAGACACATTCTCCACTCACGCTGTGGCAGTCCGCTCCGTTCTGACAGTGACAGACCTCCTGACACGCCTCCCCAAAGAAACCAGGAGCGCACGTTTCGTTACAGTACAACCCCGACCACCCTGACCGGCACGAACACTCACCCGACATGGGGTGACAGCTGAGAGAGACGACACATTCAGTGACCATCGACTGGAGTCTGAAGCACATATACCCCTACAGGCCATCAAACTGTAGATTTGGGTCTGTGAACTTATCCTAGTGCAATGATTCTAAAAACTGTTTGGTAACACTTTACTTGAAGGGGTGTCCATAAGACTGACATGACACCTTCATGATCATGACATGACACATGTCATGAATATGAAGGTTTTATGCATGTTTATGACAACTGTCATTAAGTGTCATTCACTCAATTATGACATTTTTAATGCAAATACGACATTGTTTGAGATGTCTTGGTAATGACAACTTGACATAAACCAACACATCATAACCTGCAGTGTCTTTGTCATGATAACTTGACATTACTAAGACAACACAACTTGTCATAAATATGTCATAAACATGACATAGCAGACTAATTATCAAACTTTAGAAACCACTTAGCTTTATGGGTTAACATTACATTAAACTGTCGGGTGGTTGGTTTTGACATTGGCTGTCATGAGGCCATTATAACATTTTGATGACAAATTCAATTTGTACCACTGTAGTCGAGGTCAAGAAAAATATTCATGACACAGTTATAATGGCCTTATGACAGCCAATGTCAAAAACAATGTGTCAGTCTTATGCACACCCCTTCAAGTAAAGTGTTACCAACTGGGTAGACGTCAAATAATGCACTGTAAAACCTAACAGTTATATGTACTAAATAAAAATGAGGTAATTGCCCCCAAATTTTACCGAAAGTTATGTGGACACAATGACTGAAACAGAACTCAAACTGAATGAATTATAGAAAATGTCTAGTTCCCAGCATGATAATTTGATAATAATTATGCTGATTGAGCATTAGTGATGAACACCTGCTGTTAACAAGCAGAATTAGAATGATTTCCATTACACGAGAGTAGATGTTAAAACTTTATGCTGATTTGCACTCGGCTTTCGCCAAGATAAGCATCAACTAAGTAAATAGGTTACTTTACAGTAACCTATGCATCTCCATTCATTTATACTTCCTTCCATATGTGAATATCCTTCTGTCTGGTGTTAATGGCTGAAGTATATTTCCTGGCGCGTCAGCACACACAACGGCTGCGATGCTGGCTCCGGGGATCACACACAGTGAGGTCTCCCCAGCGGATCAGCATGACAACCGTCTGGATTGAGCCGAGTAGGGGACATCTCTAGGGTCTTCAAGTGGGCACCTTCCGTCCTCAGTGTTTCGTCGACTAGCCCACGACACCTCAAGAGGGCTCGACAGTGACTCTGGCGTCCCAGAGTCACCCCCCTCCGTCCCCCACTCAACTCAGCCCAGCTTACTGACCTCTACATCAGCGTTTCTTTCTTTCTATTGTGCTTGAGATCCCTCCTGCTGGTGAGGTTGCTCCTTCCTCGATGCGGCGTGGACGCACTTGGAAAAAAAAAAAGCGCGTCGCACCGCGACCGCGCTGCTTCCATCATGAGCGCGCACACGGCGCGCCTACATTTGAAATCGAACTTGAGCGCGCAAAAGACGTGAGCAGTCCCTTTAATGGCTTTATCATGCTGACTCAATAGATTGTGTTTTCTTGATAGGTTTTTGCTTTTATTTGTACACTTGACGCGTTTGAAAATAGCCTAAATAATGTAACAAAACGAAAATAAACCTATATGCGGTCCTAAAATACAGCCTATTATTATTAGGATTGTTTTTTAGGCTCTTTGGTTTTTTGTGTGTGTTTGTTTTAAAACTCCTAGATCGGCTGGACAAAAGTTAACCCATAGCTTTGAAAATAAAGAATATACAGCCTGTATAAACGAGAGCTTTTGTTAGGATTTTTCATTGTGGCAGATAGCAGTTATATTTTTTGTAGCGTGTGGTGTGGTCAGGTGCGCGATTGTGAATGTTACTATAGACCTAGGACAGTGCTCCTCTCTTTTTGCAGTTAAAAAAAAATCACTTAATTTTTTTAAAGAATTGTATTATTATTATAGTTGTATGTATTTTTGATGTTTTTTCGTTGTTGTTTTATAAATGCTCTATGACAATTGTTAAAAAATGTTCAATCAAAACATTGCGTCTTTTTTTTCTTTTTTTTTTGTCGACTAATCGTTGTGCAGGACAAGACTTTGGTCGACTAAGGATTTCTTTGGTTGACTACAGCCCTATTACTAACCAGACTGACTTTATTTCTGTCAGACGTCTATAGATGGTCTTTATGAGAATGAACAGAGGTTTGGATGTTGATGATTTATTGCGTTATTTGAAGTTACCATGATGGAGATCAGTGTTTGCTTTAGTTGGGCTATTGACCTTCACTTTATAACACCAGTTTCTTTTCTGGCTGCTGTAAGTGTGTTTATAAAACACGTTTGTTGTTTTTTCTGTTCTTGTTGTTCATCTTTCCTTGAGTGATTCTGCTTGTTAACAGCAGGTGTTCATCACTAATGCTCAATCATCACTTAATTAATCACTTAATTTCTTGACTGCAAAGTGAAAAGAAGTTCACTTCTTTTAGTGAACTCAACTGATATAATTTCAGAGTACTCATAACTATTGGTTTCTACAATTAAATGAATAAAGGTAACCGGTGTCCTCAAATGTTATGAGTTATCTTAACTTATTGGATTTGACTTTGTGTGTGATATTGTGAGCTAGCATGCACTCTGAGTTCATTTAAAATTAAGAAATATCCTTGTTTTAGTGGACTCGATTAAAATAAATTCAGAGAACTCATAACTATTGTTTTTTTATCAAATTAATTAAATAGAGGTAATCAATGTCATCAAAATAAACGATCTACTTGAACTTGTTGGGTTTTACAGTGCGAACCATCGGCACATTGACATGCTCACTGATCTTGGTTAATGGTCACATGACCCTGATTTTTTAGTAAGTGTTTAATTTAGAATATTTTTATTTTAAAATGGTTTATTTACATCATAGGGCTGGAAGATTAAGTCAAAAAATTATATTGTGCATTTTAAGTCATATACTGCAATTGCAGTTTGAACTATTTCATATGAAATTTCTCACTTTGCTCTGCTGCTGAAACCAGGACTAGTTTTAGTTGCTTTTTAAGGGTGTTCACATTTGGGTTCAACCTGTTCAAGAATCAAATGTTCACAAGATATTTACAAGATCAAACTGAAAAGAGTAAAAACGAACAAAAATGTCTCACCTGCGTGTGTTATTGGCGTGACAGGGTGTGTGTCTCACCTGTGTGTGTTATTGGTGTGACAGGGTGTGTGTGTCTCACCTGCGTGTGTTATTGGCGTGACAGGGTGTGTGTCTCACCTGTGTGTGTTATTGGTGTGACAGGGTGTGTGTGTCTCACCTGCGTGTGTTATTGGCGTGACAGGGTGTGTGTCTCACCTGTGTGTGTTATTGGTGTGACAGGGTGTGTGTGTCTCACCTGCGTGTGTAATTGGCGTGACAGGGTGTGTGTCTCACCTGCGTGTGTTATTGGCGTGACAGGGTGTGTGTGTCTCACCTGTGTGTGTAATTGGCGTGACAGGGTGTGTGTCTTACCTGCGTGTGTTATTGGCGTGACAGGGTGTGTGTCTCACCTGCGTGTGTTATTGGCATGACAGGGTGTGTGTGTGTCTCACCTGCGTGTGTAATTGGCGTGACAGGGTGTGTGTGTCTCACCTGCGTGTGTTATTGGCGTGACAGGGTGTGTGTGTCTCACCTGCGTGTGTAATTGGCGTGACAGGGTGTGTGTCTCACCTGCGTGTGTTATTGGTGTGACAGGGTGTGTGTGTCTCACCTGCGTGTGTAATTGGCGTGACAGGGTGTGTGTCTCACCTGCGTGTGTTATTGGCGTGACAGGGTGTGTGTGTCTCACCTGTGTGTGTTATTGGCGTGACAGGGTGTGTGTCTCACCTGCGTGTGTTATTGGCGTGACAGGGTGTGTGTCTCACCTGTGTGTGTTATTGGCGTGACAGGGTGTGTGTGTCTCACCTACGTGTGTTATTGGCGTGACAGGGTGTGTGTCTCACCTGTGTGTGTTATTGGCGTGACAGGGTGTGTGTGTCTCACCTACGTGTGTTATTGGCGTGACAGGGTGTGTGTGTCTCACCTGCGTGTGTAATTGGCGTGACAGGGTGTGTGTCTCACCTGCGTGTGTTATTGGCGTGACAGGGTGTGTGTGTCTCACCTGCGTGTGTAATTGGCGTGACAGGGTGTGTGTCTCACCTGTGTGTGTTATTGGCGTGACAGGGTGTGTGTGTCTCACCTACGTGTGTTATTGGCGTGACAGGGTGTGTGTGTCTCACCTGCGTGTGTAATTGGCGTGACAGGGTGTGTGTCTCACCTGCGTGTGTTATTGGCGTGACAGGGTGTGTGTGTCTCACCTGCGTGTGTTATTGGCGTGACAGGGTGTGTGTGTCACAGTGTCTGGTTTACGTTCCTTGGGTCACCACTAGATGTCCTCCTTCCCCACGGTGTCCATCACACTCTTGAACTACATCCCCCATGATCCTTGTCTTTTCATTGCACTCAGCTGTCTCTTATCATTGATCATTGCACTCAGCTGTCTCTTATCATTGATCATTGCACTCAGCCTGTTCCCCATTAGCATTGTCATTTCCCTGTGTATATATACCCTGTCTGTTTTAGTATGTGTCACGGAGTCCTTGTATTTATCACGCCACTTCTGTGTTCCTGTTTATGTTCTTGTTTTGGATGGATTATGATGATTATTATGATATCCACTATTGCCTGGACTGGATTTTGAGTAACGGATTTCCCTAATTAAACATACTTTCTGCAATTGGATCTTCTCCTGTGTTTCCTGGTGTGGATCGTGACAGAAGGACTCAGATCAGATCCAGCGGTATGTGTTCCAACTTCTCCTCCCCAGCCACTGAGCGGGAGAGGAGAGATATGTTTGAGGGAACCCGTCTAGTCATTTTTCGTGGGACCCGGGGAGGTCGCAGAGGAGTTGGTGGTCGAGAGGGAGTCCAACACCACTCTCCACCATGGCCCCCCTTTGACTCTGAGAGGGTGAGGGACGAATTGGAGCCACCGTCTCACCGTCGCAGACGGAGAGGGGGTAAGAGACGCACGTCTGCCCAGCCAGAGACTGTTCACGTCACGTCTGCCCAGCCAGAGACTGTTCACCCCACGTCTGCCCAGCCAGAGACTGTTCACGTCACGTCTGCCCAGCCAGAGACAGATCAGGAGATGCCCATTCGTGTGGCCGCCAGGGCTATGATGGATTATTTGGAGCGTCTGGCTCGGATCCTGGACATGCCAGGGTCTGCCGTTCCAGGGTCAGTGCCTGTTCCTGAGCCGGGGCCAGTGTCTGTTCCTGAGCCGGAGCCAGTGTCTGCTCCAGGGCCGGAGCCAGTGTCTGCTCCAGGGCCGGAGCCAGTGTCTGCTCCAGGGCCGGAGCCAGTGTCTGCTGTTCCAGAGCCGGAGGCAGAGCCAGTGCCCGTTCCAGAGCTGGAGCCAAAGCCAGTGCCCGTTCCAGCGCCAGAGCCAGTGTTTGTTTCTGTGTTTGTGTCTGTTCTTGTGACTGTTAGAGTTCTTGTGGCTGTTCCTGAGCCGGTGTCTGCTGTTCCTGAGCCGGTGTCTGCTGTTCCTGAGCTGGTGTCTGCTGTTCCTGAGCCGGCGTCTGCTGTACCTGAGCCGGCGTCTGCTGTTCATGCGCCTGAGCTACCGCCTTGGCCGCCCGAGGGGTCTTCGCCTCCCTGGCCGCCCGAGGGGTCTTCGCCGCCGTGGCCGCCCGAGGGGTCCTCTCCGCCGTGGCCGCCAGAGTGGTCGTCTCCGCCGTGGCCGCCAGAGTGGTCGTCTTCGCCCTGGTCGTCCAAAGGACCTGTCCCGTCCCGGCCGCCTGCACTGCCTGATTCGCCCTGGCCGCCAGATGGACTGTCGTTTCCACCCTGGCCGCCTGAAGGATCTTCACCGCCCTGGCCGCCCGAGGGAAAGTCTCCGCCCTGGCCGCCCGAGGGAAAGTCTCCGCCCTGGCCGCCAGATGAACTGTCACTCCCTGTCCCCGTTTCCCTCCATTGACCTGGCCCCCCATCCCTCCCCCTGATCCTCCACCAGTCCACCTCCCGGCTGGACACTTGTCTGTCTGTCACGTCTGTAGCCGCTCCGTAGAGGGGGGGTTATGTCACAGTGTCTGGTTTATGTTCCTTGGGTCACCACTAGATGTCCTCCTTCCCCACGGTGTCCATCCCACTCTTGAACTACATCCCCCATGATCCTTGTCTTTTCATTGCACTCAGCTGTCTCTTATCATTGATCATTGCACTCAGCCTGTTCCCCATTAGCATTGTCATTTCCCTGTGTATATATACCCTGTCTGTTTTAGTATGTGTCACGGAGTCCTTGTATTTATCACGCCACTTCTGTGTTCCTGTTTATGTTCTTGTTTTGGATGGATTATGATATCGACTATTGCCTGGACTGGATTTTGAGTAACGGATTTCCCTAATTAAACATACTTTCTGCAATTGGATCTTCTCCTGTGTTTCCTGGTGTGGATCGTGACAGTGTGTGTCTCACCTGCGTGTGTTATTGGCGTGACAGGGTGTGTGTCTCACCTGTGTGTGTTATTGGCGTGACAGGGTGTGTGTGTCTCACCGGCGTGTGTTATTGTGGCGTGACAGGGTGTGTCTCACCTGTGTGTGTAATTGGTGTGACAGGGTGTGTGTGTCTCACCTGCGTGTGTTATTGGCGTGACAGGGTGTGTGTGTGTCTCACCTGCGTGTGTTATTGGCGTGACAGGGTGTGTGTGTCTCACCTGCGTGTGTTATTGGCGTGACAGGGTGTGTGTGTCTCACCTGCGTGTGTTATTGGCGTGACAGGGTGTGTGTCTCACCTGTGTGTGTTATTGGCGTGACAGGGTGTGTGTGTCTCACCGGCGTGTGTTATTGGCGTGACAGGGTGTGTGTGTGTCTCACCTGCGTGTGTTATTGGCGTGACAGGGTGTGTGTGTCTCACCTGCGTGTGGTATTGGCGTGACAGGGTGTGTGTCTCACCTGTGTGTGTTATTGGCGTGACAGGGTGTGTGTGTCTCACCGGCGTGTGTTATTGTGGTGTGACAGGGTGTGTCTCACCTGTGTGTGTTATTGGTGTGACAGGGTTTGTGTGTCTCACCTGCGTGTGTTATTGGCGTGACAGGGTGTGTGTGTCTCACCTGCGTGTGTTATTGGCATGACAGGGTGTGTGTGTCTCACCTGCGTGTGTTATTGGCGTGACAGGGTGTGTGTGTCTCACCTGCGTGTGTTATTGGCGTGACAGGGTGTGTGTGTCTCACCTGCGTGTGTTATTGGCGTGACAGGGGCACTTCCTGTCACACCTGAGGCCGTAGAGGCCGTCGGCACAGACTCGCTCCTCACAGCTCTCACCGGTGTATCCCTGCTCACACACACAGGCTCCGCTCACGTGATAGCACTGCGCACCGTTCACACACACACACGTCTCACCGCAGCCCACGCCATACGTGCCGACTGGGCACTGGTCCTGACACCTGCCAACACACACACACACACACACACACACTTCAGTCACAGCAGCTCGACGCTGAACTCTGACAGACTGACAAATCATGCAACAACTCTGTACAAGAAGATTTTTGGGTGAATGTTGAAAAAGTTGAAGATCAGTGATAAATATGGCTATCGAATAATGGCCTTATAGCAAGCAAATATCATAGCACACCGCACAAGAACATTTCTTCTGTTTGTCTCTGAAGGTCACATGTTAGGTACTATATGTACGAATTTTTTATGTATAAATTGCATTTTTATAGCCAATGTGTGAACAGTTTGTAAAGGTTTGAAAAGACTTCTTGAAAAAAGCTAAGGAATCAACAAATGCAAAAGAACATTTGGTAACACTTTATAATAACTAAGTATAGAGTAATAAAGTATTTACGAACCATTTGCAAATAGTTAATTAATAAATTATAAACTGTAGTTAATACATGAATAGACTATATATACAAATAGCGAGTTCTTCTTTCATTGTCACCATAATTAACAAAGTGTTACTGTTTAATGAGCTCATTTGTAAAGGGTTAAATGATACTTTGTTAACAACTTATTAACTGCAAATAGATCACGGAAAATTACATTAATTAAGTGCTTTAAACCAACCTTTATTAGACATTAATTGCATTATTATTAAGAGTTTATTTAAAAATTTTACTTATACATTAAGCCTATCCCTAAAGCAAAACATAATCACCTAAAATAATTCAATAAATAATGCTGTCAATATGAATTGCATAAAAATACTCATAAGATCAAGTTAAAATACATCAGTAAAAAATTAGGGGTGGGTTTAGAGAAAAATATACAGTTTACACTGAATAAAACACCAAAAGTCCCTGTAGAGCATGGAAACCCAGTGTGTGTGTGTGTGTGTGTGTGTGTTTAATGTTTTTGTAAACATTTTAATGAACTCTTAATAATAATGCAATAAAGATTGGTTTAAGCACTTAATGTCATTTTCCCATTTTCCGTCATCTAATCTAATGTAAGAACTATTTACAGTTCTACAATAAGTTGTTAACAAAGTATTATTTGACTCTTTACATATGAGCTCATTAAACAATAACACTTTAACTACAGTGACACAGAAAAAACTCACTATTTGTATATAGTCTATTCATGTATTAACTACAGTTTATAATTTATTAATTACCATAAAATAATAGTTTGCAAATGATTTGTAAGTATCACACTATACTTATTATAAAGTGTTACCAAACATTTCTATTGATCTATTCTTGTAGAAATGCAACTCACTTGCAGCTGCATTCTACTTTCACTTTACAAATGTGATTAAAGAAGTTAAAAACTATACAACTATATAAAAACTATGCAAATAATGTAACAGCTGTCTTGTGTTGTTTGTCTTTATCACGTGGTCTTTGCTCGTAATTAAGCTTCTATCAGTCCCTATAGAGCAGAATCTAGTGAAGAGGGATGAGGACACGCTTATCTCCACCATTCTGACCATCTGAAAACAGCCAGACTGTCTTTCTGTTCAGCATCCCACAGATAACCTTCTTCATACTGAGACTCGCACTCTCTGACTCTTAACCACTTAGTTAAACACACACACACACACACACACACACACTCACACTGGTGGGCTCCTCCCTGTGGCTGTTAAGAGATTATTCTGCAGCCGGTAGGGTGTGGTGAAATCAGGGTAAACCGGAGGTAACAGTGACATCTGGTGAAGCCAAAGCTCTTATTAAGTCATAAAAATTCACTTGCGTTTCTATTTCTGCCGTTTAAATACATGCTGCCCGCTCACTCGTACTGTAATTACAGCTGCACTGGACGCCAGCAGAAGCTGCTTCACATGCGCATGACTGACTGCTGTTCTGACACTCTCTCTCTCACTGCATCATGTGTGATGTTCCTCACTGCGCCTGACAGTTCTACTGTACTCGTGCATCATCTTCATGCATCATCACAGCACCTGATCAGTAAAATACACCCCGGAATTTTCATATCACAGAAAACATATAAATATAACATTTTCCCAAGCAACTATTGAAGTAAACAAGGTTTCACGAAAACTTTATTAAAAGAAAGATAACCATAACCAAACCAGACCATGCGTTAACGACAAACACAACTGAAAACACAGGAACTAAATACTCAGGCAGACGAGGTTAATTTACGACAAACAGCTGATTAATCATATCAGTTACCCTAGAAACTAAAGACTGGCGGGAACTAGAACAAAAGATACTGAACAGAAACCAACTAAAGTCCATGGAAGTGAAACTAAGACAAAAATAACAGAATATGTGTTACACAAGGAAACAATCTGTAATAAAGTAAGAAGCAATTTACAACCAATAGGACTAATAAACACAATAGAACAAAAACACAAATAAAACAATGTTACATTTTTTCAGGGAGATCAATTCAAATAATAAATACTTCAGAAATTGTATAAAGTCCTCAAATATAAAATAAAAAGCAGCAGTCTGCATGGTATGAATATGCTACCAATGTTATTCAGTGTTGTGTTGTTTATCATTATTGACAGACAGCAGGTTTATTAGCTGCTGTCCCTTTAAGGAGATCCTGCACAGATCCAACATACTGACACACAGTTTCTCTCAATCGACTGGGTTTACGTGAATACTCACCAAAACTGCATTGACCATTCAAGCACAATATCGCTCGAACTTGTCAATAACTTCAAGCAGTCCTGCACTGCATGGATACATGTGCACACCGTGATATAAACCTGATAGCATAACTTCTATTGATTGACACCTGTCACCGGGATATAAAGCCCTACTCTGCGCCTCCTCTCTCACACCCCACAGTTTGAGGAAACCCTGATCCATACCAAGGGTTTCTGAACGGATCCTGAAGCCTCTCCAGCGAATAAAGAAACCCCCCATAGAGTGCAGTGCTGAGCGGCTCCAGGGACGGTTCGATCACCCGAGGTCTTCAGGCCTGGGCCTCCCTGTCCTGTCCTGTTCTCCCTCCTGCTTCAGCACACCTGCGTGGCTAAGCTGGCCGTTTGATGAGCGTTGGAGCTGAACTCTGCAGGACAGTGTGTCCACAGAAGCAGGGCTAAGACCTCAGGTCTATATGATGCATCTCAGAATAACCAGCATTTGAGTCCAATAAAGCATGAGTCAATGAGCTTTGCGTTTTTGTGTAGAAACAGTCCAAACCATGGCTCAGCAAACTAGCTTCTCCATGGTCTTGGTCATGTGAGAGGTCAATGCTGCTGCTCTACAACCAGACATGATGTTTTCCAGAGCCCTGGGACTGAAACTCCTCCGATCGGCACATGCCCTGGACGTGTGCCAGCATCAGATCCTGCAGTTTCACCTCGAGTTTCCTCATAACCTGATATGCTGAGTCTACAGCAGTGCCAACGCTAACCCATCTCTGAAGACATTTCTCAGCTTGGCTCTGTTCCTCACACTCTCTATCACGAGACTTCAGAAGGACTGAATATAGTGCAAAAGTCACACAGACTTTAGTCAGGAGTGAACCGAGGCTGTAAGGGGCAGCAGGATTATAGTGTGTTCAGTGGATTGTACTGGTGTTTGACAAAATGGCATTTGTTTAGCAAAACTTTTGTTGTGAGTTGTGAGTTTTGAAAATTGCATGTGATGCAAAGTGTCATTGTACAGGCTGTAAGTTTCTCCCTCGCAGCCTCGTTTTCATCCATGTGAAATTCTATCATTTAAGGTCTGTTGGCTCTTTTCAGGAGCATGTAAGTTCCCAGCATTGTGTTGCTCTCCTCTCCAGCGGTAAAGCTTGATGTTGCGGTGCAGGTACTGACCTCTCTCCTGTGTATCCCGCGCTACACACACACTGTCCCGTGGACGGAGCACAGCTTCCCCCGTTATGACACTGACACTCCTGCGAGCAGTTCTTCCCGAAGCGTCCCGCCGGACACGGCTGTCCACACACTGCTCCCTGAAACGACATCAACACATCACTGCCAACACAGTGCCGAGACAAACAGTGTGCAACAATTACAGTAGGCAGGAAACTTTCAAACAAATTTTCAAATGACACTAAAACAGAGAACATAATTTAATCGAATGAATAATCTAATAATTCTGTCAAAGTCCAAACATAATGGGCCCTATCATACATCGGGTGCAATCCGATTTGCGATTTTAGTGTTTTTTGCTAGTTTCAGCCCGACGCAATTATCATTTTCACGTCCTGCGCCACGTTGTTTAAATAGCGAATGCATTTGCGTCCATCTGTGGCCCATGGGCTGCTGGTCTGAGAACCAGGTGTGTGTTCGGGCGCATTGGTGGAGCGTTTGAGGAACTGAAATAGACTGAGCCGTTGACCAACTGAAACCTGGTCTAAAGTCAATGGCGCAGTTTTTTTTTGTTATTTAAAGAGCGCGTTAGTAATGTGCGCCTATAGTACACTTTGTCCCGTAGATGGTCTGCTTGCGCGCTTTAACCTCACACACACACACACAGCTTTAACCTCGCACACAACACACAAGCGGATCCGTTTCCTCGCTAGAGAAGCGTTCAGTTTTTCCGCTTGCAAACTCCGCCGTGTAAATAGTGAATCCGCCATGGCGCGAGCGCAACTGGCTTTTAAAGGGAATGAGAGATGAGTCTCTGATTGGTTTATTGCAAGTTACGCCCAAAACACACCCATTACTCATTAACCCTTTATGATCTGCCATAGAACAATTCCACCAGAGTATATCTTAGTATTTTTACATGCTTTGCTGTCAATCTTTTGAGCATTTTCATATGCCATACATCAAAACAATCCTTACACCCCCGATTTGAAGGCTATGTATGTTATAAATCAATATTAACTAGATACATAGCTCAAAAGTGCAATAAACTAAAAACTAAAAAATTTAAATTTATTTTAGTTATTTAGTTTTTTTTCTACATATTTTATTAAATACAGAAATATCACAAATGTCAACCTCAAACTTGTCAATGTAAAAAACTTACTGTATATAAAACACTTTAAAACAACACACAATTGATTTGAACTGTTTACATAAATTAATTTGTAAGATACACTAATTTTTATAAACAGTGCGTTGTGGAGTCAAAATGATGAAGCAATGACAAAAAGAGACAATAACGAAAGTAGAACGCAGTAGAGTAGCATATACAGCAAATGGGAGTAGGAGCAACAGGAGCATTTTGGAGGCTTGATCTGAACGTGTAACGTCTCTGGTTTTGTATGCAAAAAGAATTATCGAGCTAGCCATTTGGTTTCAGTTTCTATCGGCTCTTAAACAGAGACACGCAAATGGGAGCGTCGGTCTTAAAGGGTTAAGAGAATAGGGATAAACCTTTTAGACCATGTGCTGGGTGCGCCGACCATTTTTCCCGTCGTTAAACTAGCAAAAGTGGATTCGGACTCGCTCTAAGTGCACTTGCGCCCTGCGCTTTAGACCATGCGCTTACATCCTTAAACTAGGCCTGATGAATCACAAATATTTATCTTTACTTCTAGATGTCAATTAATATTGAGTGTTGCAGGCGTACCATCCAGCCGGCCGGGCAGGAACACTCTCCGGTCACATGATGACACACGCCACCGTTCTGACAGGGGCAGCGCTCCTCGCACTGCCGCCCATGCTTCCCTGGAGGGCACAAGTCCTCGCAGCTGCACACACACACCAAACACATTTACATTCATGCATTCGGCAGACGCTTTTATCCTAGTTCTTGCATTCCCTGAGATTCGAACCCATGAGCTTGGTGTTGCTAGCGCCACAATCATCCGTCTGAGCTACAGGAGTACAAACACATGACGGCTGTCGCAGGTGAACTCACAATGCTCCAGTGTATCCTGGGCTGCACACACACTCTCCTGTGATGTGGTGGCATGTGGCGTTGTTCTGGCAGAGGCACTTCTGCTGGCAGCCGTTGCCGTAGGTGTGGCGCTCACAGAGGTCCTCGCAGCGCCAGCCGCGGTGTCCCGGCGCACAGAGGCAGGCTCCGCTGATGGGGTTACACAGCGCCTCGTTCTGGCACTGACAGCGGTTCCGGCAGTGTGGACCCCAGTGCTCGCCATCACATGCTGCACACAGACACACACACACAGAGCTGCACTTCTGACACAGAAAACACCTACACATGTGGAAAATACAGCATCGGCCAGCAGAGATTTGATCAATAATATCTGTGATATGTGCAGTCGCTGAAGGAAATATCTGCAGCATAGTTGTCTGAGGGAAGTTCAACATCAGTCTTGGGTTGTGTGTGAATGAAATGCAGCATCAGAGCTGCTTTAGTGTCTGCGTGTGAGTTCAGCACACGACACAACAATGTCTTTACACTGTAACAGCAGCTTTATGCATAAAGAAAGAGGACAAGCACTGTGACAAGACATCAGTGTTCAGTAAATGTGTTCATTTTAATAAGCAGTTCATCTGTCAAGTAATGCAAATCATTAGTGTGACTGTAGTTGTTTCTGTAGTCAATCATGCAGAATTTGTAGTCATCTATTTGATAAAATCTTAAAGCTAATGCAGTGTATGACACCAATATACAGCACAAAATCATATATTTCACATATATCACATATCAACAAGAATGTCATCATTGAATTTTAATCTAGAAATTTAAAAGATGTAGAAATACAGTGTCATTGAATTAAATCAATTAAATACATTTTTAACTAATAACGGTTGTGGCGAGCAGGACGAGGCCGAGGACCGTGAGAGAGCAGCGCGAGGCGTGATTACTGATGAGCGACACCTGTGAGACGCACCGGTCTCGCTCTTTACTGTCGTCGCTCCTCCTTTATGCCTCCGCTCCTCCGTGAGAGATACGAGACCGAGGTGTCGCTCATCCTTAATCACGCCACCGGCCTCGCGCCGCTCTCTCACGGCCCTCGGCCTCGTCCTGCTCGCCACAACGATATTAATAACTAATACCGACTATAAATGTATTTGTACAATTTGTACAGGCCCCATGAGGTACATAAGCTGTCAAACATTTCAGCCATCTTTCATTTTTATTATCCAAGCTAACAGGAAATATTTTCAGAACGTTCTGGAAGGTTCTCTCAAAGTTATGAACAATCGAATTTCCAGTAACATTAATAGAACGTTTGGTCAGAGCTATCTGGTTTTTAATAGTGTTCTCTAAATTTTGGCATAAAAACTTTATTTATAAATTGTTCGTGGAATGTTTTTTTAAATGGTTTCGTTGGACATTTGTCTAATGTTATGTTTCAGAACATTCAAAAGTAACATTTACATAATGTTAGCAAAACATATTATTGATATAGGATGTGGTGTTCTGGCAGGTTATTCCAGGAAAAGTCATAGTGTCACAGACATTTTACTAGTCTGCTTGGATCGCTGGGCATAAAATCTATAACACTGCTTAAAATGAAAATCTCTTTTGGTCTCATGAAAGAGTGGTGGCAGAATCTGTAACGTGTGTTCCCTTTCGAAAGAGAACTCGCACTGCGCCAATGACGCTTTGGGGAATGCCTCCGAGTGAACCGGTGTCTACCGGTGTCTGAAACGCTTATCCAATCAGGGCAATCATATTTACCGGCGACAGTCTATGACGTCACTACTAGTGTGACTCGGAAGCATAAAAGGGGCGCCTAGAGAATATGTCATTCTCTTTTCATCTTCAGGGACTGTCTTGTTTGAATCACGATCACCTGGAAAACATTCCATGTAAAGAAATTATGGCTGACAAACATTTCAAGAAGTGTGTGGATCCGTTTTTGACACCTGATGACACACACAACTTGTGCGTTTACTGTTTGGGCGAAGAGCACGCATGATCAGCTCTTGAGAGAGTTTTCCCTTAAAGGTCCCATGACATGAAATTTTCACTTTCTGAGGTTTTTTAACATTAATATGAGTTCCCCTAGCCTGTATATGGTCCCCCAGTGGCTAGAAATTTCAATCGGTGTAAACCGAGCTTTGGCTATCTCTCTCTACCTTTGAGAAAATGAAAGCTCAGAGGAGCTGATCTTGAATCTCCTCTGTATGACGTCATACGGAGGAAAGGTTGCCTCCCCTTTCTCAGCTTTGCCCGCCCAGAGAATTTGGCTCGCCCATGAGAAAATGAGCTATGAAGTACGAACGCGCGAGCGCGATTTGAGTTTTTCCTCGAGAGATATCATGGCTTGCAAACGAGCTGAAGCATGGCAGTTGATCAGTGTTCGGATGTACAAATGAACACAAAAGTATTTTTTAGTTCCTTCATCCGAGCCTCTGAAGAAACAATGGGTTAATTTTATTTTCTCTGTAAATGCGCCGACACAACTTCCCAAAGTTTGTATGGTTCAAACATTTCACCGACGACTGTTTCCTCAACTTGGGCCAATACAGAGCTGGCCTCGATGAACGTCTGGAAATAAATCGATCGAGCTACCAAGCAACAATTTCTGATGTGTAGCCTAATTGTTCAAGTTCAGACAGGTAATCTTTCTCTCAAAATCATTCAATACTGATTATGCATCAGTAAGTCAAGCCAGTGACTAAAATATCAACTTCACATCGTTTCTTTTAGTAGGATGAAAATAATCTTATTTAAATTGTGAACAAATTCATGGAACAATCTTTCCACACAAAGCGAGTTTATCTGGACAACTGGTTATGAAATGAATTACGCACGTTACACTGCACAACGAAGCTCTTACTGTATGTACATCATCGTGTTTGGATTGGTGAAAGCATAAGAGAGAGTGCAGAAACTGTGTTGCAATCAACAGACTGTCATCTGCTTGCTCAATGCTCATCATGGCAACATTTTATGTGATGGGAATAGATCTAAATACTTTAAAAACTCACGATTCGTTAATCTCGATAGCTGTAATAGTAAAAACGTATAATAGCTGTAGTAAAAGTATTCGAGAGAGTTTCACATGTAATACGTAGCTATTTCATATGCAAGCATGTCAGCCAATCACAGCAGTGGCCGGTTACACTGAATCCCACAGCAGACACGCCCCTTCAAACATAATTCCCCAGCTCCCGTGAGCCTTCCATTCCTGCCCGATATACACACTGAGATCAAAAAGGCATGGAAGAACCCGTACTCAGCGCATCCATAGCCATCAGCGAGCCAACTATGCTATGTGTCGATGCCCCCAATCGACGAGACGTTTGCAAATTATCTCGCCGCTGGAGAGGCATCAGCACTGAAAGCTCTGGCCTTGCCTTCCAGGGCATATGCGGCGGCAGGTCAGGATGGTGCAGGATGGGACATGTTCTCTAGGTGCACACTCTGTGTTACAAGTGTATCAGGCTGACCTGCTGAAGGATTTGGACCAGGGGCAGTGTCTCTCCCCTGACGCAGTGGACGAGCTGCGCCGCACCACAGATCTGGCACTCCGGGCCACCAAACAAACCGCTGCCTCGATTGGAAGGTCGATGGCTGCGATGGTGGCCACGGAAAGACATCTGTGGCTGAACCTGGCTGACATCGGGAAGAAAGAAAAGGGCTTTCTTCTCGATGCACCGGTTTCGCTGTCTGAACTTTTCGGCACCTCCATTGAGACGGTGGTGGATAAGAGGCGAAGGCGCGCTCGGCTGCATTTAAATCGAGCATTCCGCTGCGCTCTGAATCCGTGCTCAGACAGCCAGGGGGTCCTGCCCATCCCGGTTCGAGGATCAGGGCCTGAGGTTCAGCGTCGCCTCCCGCACCCCTCTCACCCCTTGGAGAAGGTCGTAGAGAAGGCACAACTCTAGGAAGAAGAAGGATTTGAGGGAGCTGATCCAGCACAGGCGCTCTCAGCATCAGAATAACAGCCTCCCTCGCCTCTCCTCTCTCCTTTCTCCCACTTCTTTCAGCCCAGGTGCTTCTTACATCAGGCCTGAGGCTGGACCTATGATGATTTATTCCTTCAATATGGAACCCTTCTGAAGGTCTGGCATCAGGCTTGGTAGTGAGTGCGCCCTTTCGAGCTTTGGAGTGGTAGGCCTTCTTGAAGGCGGCTCCCCAACGAGTTGGATGCTTAGCATTGAAAAGGCATTAAGTATCACAATGCAGGCTCCCATGGAGCCTCCCTGACTCTAGCCCAATACTTATCAGGTTGAGCATAGTGTTCCAGACTCTATCTGAGGTTCGCTCTATATTAATACTTAGCTCCCTAAGTCTGGTCGGGAGGTTGAAGGACTCTCACGAGGCCTCCCTGTAAGGTCAGCCCTAGAGCTGGAGGCGCTCCCCTATTTAGGGTCCCTTTAGAGTGCCCAGCCTCCACAGGGCCTTGAAGCACTGTGTAGATCCAGGATCGAGTAGAGTACTCCCCTCGTTTGCAGAGGGTTATAAAGCGCTATAGTGAGTTCTACTCTCCAGGATGCCTGTCTCTATGATCTATGACGGTCTGTGAGCGATTACTGCCACTATCTGCAGTCCTCCCTATCAGATGCCTCCACAAGTGAGGCAAATAATGTTAGAGACTCTGTTTAGGAAACAGACAGGTTGTTGGCATGACTAGGTCAGTAAAATAGACTAGGTCAGCCTCCCTGGTGGCATGTGGGGTTAAAGGGATAGTTCACCCAAAAATGAAAATTCTGTCTGTAATTACTCACCCTCATGTTGTTCCAACCCCGTAAGACTTCCGTTCATTTTCGGAACACAAATTAAGATATTTTAAGGGATCGAAACTTGCCGGCCCAGAAAAGTTATTAAAGACATCGTTGAAATTACCATTAGTTTATCAAGCGACTTTATTCAACTATTAATTTTCTTCTGCGTGGGCCTTAGTGAGTTCATGTAGTGTAACAGCGCAGTAGTTCTGTGTTGTACGCCACCATGTAGGCTCACGCATGACACACATGACCAGCGTCGGCCAATAGTGAGCCTACACTTGATAAACTTATGGTTGAGCTGTAGTCACTTGGACTATTTTAATAACTTTTAATTAACTATCTTTAATAAATTTTCTGGGCCGGCAACTTTATGTCTCCCTTAGTAAGTGACAGGACGGGACTCCTTTCGGACCTCCTGGCCATATTCTCTTAAACAAACCTCTTCCATGGAAGCTGTTGGTTCCAGGCCATTGAGCAGCCTTCATTGTATCAGAGGCTTTGAGGCTTATAGCTT